CAAATATTATACCAATGCCAATAATAGGAACGCCTCCATTGGATGTTACAAAATCCAGTTATTCCGAATGTTATATTTGAAGTCTTTGGAAAACAATATGACAATGCACTTTATTGTATATATATAAATATATATTTATGTTGTTTTGATGTTGCTATATTAACCTTGTGAAACAAGACCTAAATACGAATATATCTATTTCATTACTTAAACCTAAGAAAAATATCCATTGAAAATGAGATATAGATTTAATTAAATAGAGCATTTGTTAATTAACATATAGAAGATTTTTTTTTATTGGAAAAATTAATTATGAGTTATGTCAATGAGTAGGCTGGATACTTTACTCATATGATTCCTGATGATCGTTTATGTTCTTTTTGCACTGATCGATTAGTTTTCTTTAGAAATGAAAACTGGAATAATAAGCTCAATCAAGTGCTGTTTTATATTCTAAGTACACTGACCTTTTATCGGAAAAATAAGATAAAAAATTCCCTTGTTGACGATAAAAAGCTTCATTTAGTTTTCTGATTTATATGTGTGTTATTTTCTTATCAAAAGATAGGTTTTTTTTATCGCTTTCAGTAATTGAAAGATACTATAATAACTGATCAATAGATGAAATTCATATTTTTAGAAACTGTAATTAAACAGATGTTTACAACTATTGCTTATGTGATGTTTTCGGACCTCAGACGGCTAGTTCCCGTTTCGTCGAAAGCTTAATTGATTTTCTTGTTTCGTCGAAAATTAAAAATTGAATAAAAATATGCAGAATGTCATTAGCTTATTCACGACCATTTCATTTTCTTGAACAGACTAATTCACAAAAACGGATTCTTGGTGGATCTGTTGAAAAAATTTGTTGAAAGCATTATACAAATTACATAGAGCTAATGGATTCATCTCAATAATGTGGAAAGGCAAAGATACTAAAATTTACAAACACCGAGCTGTGAAAATGTTGAGATGCTAGTAGTGTTGAGTGTATGAATAGGCAACGAGGAAGCGGTCACTCACGTCCTCATATAAACTAAAGCAATCACTCACTCTCACCCTAACATCTATTTTTCTACAATTAAGGGTTTGTTGTTTATAACTACTTACTAAATATTTTAATCAAGAATTTCGATTTACAAATAAATTTTTCGTGATGGTACTGAATCGTTGGTTGAATGAAGTAACTGTATAGTTTAGTTTGTTTCTTTGATGAAACTTGGTCTATTCAAGAGAACGAAAGTAATTAGAATAAGCTACTTATATTCTTCATATTTTCTTTCAGTTTTACTATTCGACGAAACAAGAATTCACCCCTCAGACTTGCATTATTTTTCACTTTGGTAGAGTTTACAAAAAAAAACACAAAATATTTGTGTCCATTCATTTTTACATTAGCTCATAGAGCATTTGAAAGAAAACAAAAAGAAAATCTTCGGCTTGAATATTATAATTAAGTATTCATATGTCACCATCGACGTCATAAGTATACTGTTCTTTGAGAAAAACAAGACAAAGTTTAATCTTGACAAATTTATTATGTAAAATAAATATATAATACTCAAACAACGATATACATTTTAATCAAAGCAATACTAATGTTTCAGTACATATTTTTCGTTTCTTCACATTACACATACAGATTGTCTAGTGAACTTCTTGACAATCACACTATAAAAACAATTTTTCTATTATCTCGCATTATCTGTATATGACTCCATGCAATTGTAGACATCTATCTTCGATATTAAATAACTTGAGCTTGGCATAGGTGTCTGATTTTTCATTACTTGTAAAATATTATATTCATTCTAACAACATACTTTATTAACACTCATATGGTTAAAATGAAAAACTTTCGATAAATACTTGAAAAAAGCTAAAACTAAAAATTTTCATTTCGTTTTAATTCTATAGATTGAGAAAAAACTAAATCAATAAATAAAAGGCTGAGATTTAAATGATCAGTATAAAGATTAAATAGTCAGTACTCGAATTACTATTATTTAATTGCAAAATGGGTAGTTTATTATATGTAATTAGCAGTAAAAAGTTCAAATTTTATTAGTAGGATCTTTTTATTCGTATCAATAGGACATGAATCTGAGCTCCAATAGATTTTCATTCGATACACACCTTCACTCATGCCCCCTAATAATCATCATGATCAGCTTTAGCTTTATAAATAATAACTTTTTGCCTCGGTCTGCATGACATAACAGATAATTACTTGCTCTACATTAAGATCCACGACACATGACTTTGTTGCATCTAAAATAAACTATTCTCTCATATTCTGTTTAATCGTATAATGTTTTGTGCATTCATTTTCAATTGATGCTTTTACTTCACTAACATTGTCAAATGTAGACTTGTCAACCTTATGTTTTTATTTCTGTTTTTGACAAGACCTTTCGTTTGTATTTCTTTGATTATTTTCTTCCACAACCTCTTCATTAGAAGCGTCACTTTCACATTGAGCAATTTTTATCACGACAATCTTTGTTACGTGTAAATTTTAAGCTGAAATCGGAAGAAAGGATAAAAACAAAAAGCTCTTATATCTATGTCGTATATAACATCTGTACTAAATGGTACAAGAGGACAAAGAAACAAAACGTGAATCACACTATATGCATTTCAATGTCTATATTTACCCTTTGATTTAATTGGCTGTTAGTAAATTTAATTTACTGATTTTTAAATCTATTAACAAAGTTGATTCATTACTCATTGATCAGTTAAGTAATTTACTGATTTTATAATACTTTAACTTACTGACCATTTCTTCTGTTTCACTGAATAGATATTTTGTTTCTCATTGAAATATAACATATCTTTTTCTAAATTACATAGCTAGTTAGTAGAACAAACTATCATATACTTACCTTTTTGTTTCCTTTTTTCAATGTAAAACATAGATAAATGAAGAATTCTGAAAAGTTTATTTCAATTTGTGCAAATATTATTTCCAACAGATTCAACTAGTATATATTTTATCAATCTTGAATCGTACATAGAGTTTTATTATACATTCAGAAAGAGCATAAAATATTCGAGTACAATATTTATTGTCCGTGGATTTACTTTCCATTGACTATTTTGACAAAAAGAAATGAGTGAACTAGTAGTTATTGTGAACGTGAAGGTGAATGTGAGAGATTAGGGTATAAAAAAAAATACTCATCTTAATCCATTCTCAACCTACTGTTACTTCCACCTCCATCCCATAACCATTCTTGCTACTCATTTATTCATTTCTTTTCGTTCAAAAAATTCACAGAAATTAAATCTCTATATAAGAAAATTCCTAATAGGAATATATTTTCATGTAATCAACGAAACATTGTGTTATTGTAAGTGAAGTTTTAAGAACTGAAAACAAATTCTAAGTTAGACACTTGCTTCTTTTCTTTCTCAAATCAAGTTAATACTTGATTTTATGTCGTATTTTATAAAATATTCCAGCATACTATTAGTTTCATGTTTGATATATATGTAGTTTTGATTAGATTAATTGGAGATTGGTTTATCGATCTATACGTCAAAGTTTGAAAAGAAATCCAATTAGTGGCACTTGCATTATTCTTAGGTTATATTACTTATAAATACATCGTGCCGAAGTTATGATATATTAACTATAAAATTAACGAGATTATTAGATAATAATCAAGTGCTTCATTTTGACAATCGTACAAAAAACCAAGAATTAAATTCAGACAAAATAAACTCTATCTGTTTCGAAGCTTGTGACCTATAACGTATCTCCGTCTTTCGACATCTTCATTAGTATCAGGAAAATCATAGTTTTGCCTGTAGCATTTTCCATATTGAGAAAATCCTAACTTTCTTTAAAAACAAAAGTCTCTTAAACAAATATACCTCCTGAATTATTCGCGAATAGATACTTTAAAATAGCTATAGACGACTTCATCAACAGTTTGTCGTATTTTTAAAAAGAATTAAAGACAACTCGAACATTGAAATCTTTAAATTTAAAAATGATTTATCAAATTATTTTCTCTTGACATTGGAATATTATATGTGTCAACATTTGAATAAAAAACTGTTTCAATTGTGAAATTCTGCAATCATAAACATCACCAAGACATCAAACTTGAAAACAACAGTAACTCATTCGTGTCCATATCTAATACAGCAATGTTACAAATTAATTAGTTTATTGTCGAATTGGTGATCAGTGAAACTGAAAACACATGCAAACAATTTTATTCGAATGCATCTCTAATATTTTCATATTAGTTGAAAATTTAAAAAAAAACTTTTTTTCTTCCAACTTTAATCTAGATGATATGTTTTCATAATATCATTGTCGATGAATTAATTTTTAACTTTTTAGTTAACATAGAATAACTTTGGTATGACATGTATATATTCTATTTCAAATTCAGACTATGCTTGTGACGTTTTTAAGATATTTATATATAACTCTTTTGCACAATGATTGGCTCCATGGAATCCAAAATATCAAGAATTATACTTTATTCCCTCCCTTATTTCTTTCTTCTAGAAGTGTACAAACTGAAAGTTCAGAAAAATTGGCGGCATCTATCAACGAATCAAACACTTTAAAAAAAACAAGCATATGAAATCTACCGTATTCTATCGCTTGATTTGTAATTAAATTTTTAAATTTAATTAGCTATTGCTTTAATATGATTATAATATATGATTAGCTGTCGTTGTCATGGTATTCAAAATAACAATGACAGTTGCAATCAAAGTTAACAAACACTTAAATAGTTTTCTTTTTTCGTTCGATATCGAAGGTCAATAAAAAAAATCATTTAATAAACATGAAGTCTTATTGGTGACTGAGAGAAAAAAAAAACTACTCTGTAGAATTTAAAAAACAAACATGCATAAAATTTAACATTTTTATTTTTTTCAAATACTTATGTTGTTTTTTTTAGATCAATCATAGTAATCGTTGAAACCATTCAGCAGTTATTAGTAAGATTACCTAAAGTGACATACTCATGGCATCGTCAAAAACACGTGATCCATGGCAACAACAACAACAAAGTCGTCTTCGTTTCAATACAATCAGTCGTGAGAATATAAATGACATGCAGGTAGACAATGTTAACGATTTAAAAGAAAAAATAATATTTAGCTGAAGTGTTGAGAAGTGTATAAGACCAATTTGTAAAAAGAAAACATTAAACATTTAATCTCTCTTATTCTTTCTTTTCTCTTTTATGTATTAGCCATTAGGCTTAGAGAAAAAAAAAGGACGAGAGAGAATAAATAAGGAAAAAAATCACAGTTATTGAAAAGTGAAGCATACAAACAATTCTTTTAAGTTTCTTTTTCGTAGCAATTTTATTTTACATGATCAATGCAATTAAATTATTGAAGCATTAGAAATAATGGCTGCTATAAAACAACAGGTTGGTTATTATTATCAAAATGCTAAAATAGAATCTATTCTTTTCTTTCAATCATACATGAATTAAATTTGAATTTATAATAAAGTTGCTTAAAATTGCTTGCTTGTATCAATATCATAAGTATCGAATATAAAGGTATTAAGATAAAACGAGCATATAATTATTAAAAAATATGATCGAACCAGTGCTTTTAATCACAATCAATAAAATCAAATATTCTTCAATCAATCACATATTGCTTCTTCTACTGATAGTTTCTTACCTATTCAGTTGTAATTCATGTAGCTTTTGCTTCTTATTTTTTTCTTTCGCTTGTTTCATCGTCAGCAATAAAATTTGCACTTGATGGAGTTCATTGCTCATATTTCGATTTAAAATTAAAATAGAAATGCACCAATCTCTTGCGCTTCTAATTAGCATATACATTTGTTTTTTTTTGTTCGTTATTTGAATTGGTCGGGTAAGAAATCTTGTATTTCTTCTATTCTTCATCATACATTCATCAACGCACCTAACAACGCATATATATATATATATGCATCTATATACAGAATTCTTGATGTTAAATTTTCTATTGATAAGACGCGTTGGTGTGAAATATGAGACTGAAATAACAGCAATAGTAGTAGTTGTAATAGCAACAGTCATTTCTTTTTTTATATAAGAAAAAAAGCAGCAGAATACGTACAGTGAGATGTTCTTACGCTCGAGACCAAATGTCTCGGTTGTAGAATATGCGGTGAGCTTTTTATTAGTTTAGTTTTAACTTAAGATATTCATTTTATTTTTTTCTACTTTTCTTAGCAACGACTTCGCGATGAACGTGAAAGCAAACGGTCGAATCTCGACGAACGACATCGACATTTGTTCGATATTATTGCTACTCGACTTGGTATCGAAAGATCTGAAGTCGAAGATAATGTAATCGATAGTCATAATGTAAATTGATCTATTTTACATAATAAGATTTCTAAAAAAAAAGAACGAAAAAATATCGATTTTAGTTTCATCTTATGGATCAATTTTTTATCAATGATGGAAGTCAATATCTTGTTTTCTTCTATCAAGAACCTGAACCAGAAAATTATCAAAATGGAGGTTTGTCATAGAAGATTTTGATTTTCATATTCTTTAATTTAATTATAAAATATTTCCAGCAGACTCGTATCGTCCTGGTTTGTCTCCATATTCAAATCGAACAAGTTCAAGTAATCAACGACCTACAAAACCTAAAGTGATCATAGCCGATCTTCAAGAACAAAGTCTACGAGGAATATGTCTTTGTTTTTTACGTAACTCAAAAAAAACCGTTATTACAGGACAAAATATCGTTAATGTATGTTTTATTAATAAATCATTTGATTTTATTTATTGTTTCGTAGGAAGTTTTTTTCTATACATTTGAATGTAACACTGAACCTTTACTTCAAGCATTAAGTCGATCAATAGCTGATATATATTTACCATATCTTCAAACATCAGAAACAACTTGGGGAAAACTTACTGGTTCAGATAATAATCAAATGATAAAAGTTGATTTTATTAGTCGATTAAATAATTTTGTTGCCACACTTAATAGTGCACAAGAAAGTATTAGTGAAAGAATTTTATTAAAACCATGTGATAAAGTTGATTTAACACAAATACAAAATGCAGCTGATTATGTATCAATAGCATCAAATAATGAAAGTCTTGCATCAATTGAAGAAACAATGAAAATATGGATTAAACAAATGGAACAAGTAACAAAAAAAAATATATAAAATTTATATTTAGATTTAATCTGTTGTTCTATTTTTGTTAATAAAAAAAAAAGGTTTTAGCCGAAAGTGAACAAATTCGTCGTGAAGCAGATAATATAGGTCCACGAGCTGAACTTGATTATTGGAAAAAACGTATGACAAAGTTTAATTTTTTACTTGATCAAATAAAAGGACAAGATGTTAAAGCTGTTTTAACAATTTTACAAACTGCTAAATCAAAACTTATTCAAGTAAAATAATAATAATAATAATTTATTTTCAATATATATATTTTGTTCTTTAATTAATAGCAATGGAAATTACTTGATCTAAAAATTACAGATGCAGCAAATGAAGCTAAGGATAATGTACGATATTTATATACATTAGAAAAGTTTTGTGAACCATTATATAATTCTGATCCAGTTGGAATGTTAGAATGTATTCCAGGTTTAATTAATGCTGTACGAATGATTCATTCTATTTCACGATATTATAATACATCAGAAAGAATGACATCACTCTTTGTTAAAGTAAGTTATGTAATAGTAACATTACAATTTCTTTTAGAATATCATAGTTGTCATATAAAAACTAAATATCCTTTGATTGATCTACTCAAGGTTCTCTACCCAATTAGTCTATTTAAGTAATACGATATTCGTTCATTAGAATCAATAATTTTTCGAAATTTATATTGTGGAACTCACGTTATGTTTTTTGAAGAAAAAATATAGACAATGTAAGTTTTAAGTTGAGATTTTGTGGCTTCTCTCCTTCACAGCAACGAGCGAAAGAGCAATAGGCCAACAATCACTTGGTACGTTTCCATAGCAACCATGGACAACATGCACAGACTCTTTCTAGGGTTGGTTAGTAACGGAACAAGGTACTAAACGGTATTAAAAATAAGGATTCGACTGTTCGACAATATTTCAAAGCCTTTCTCAAAATTTGAATGAATAAAATACGCTTATCAATATTCTAAATTGTGTAATTTCTGATTCCTACGCAGATCAAAATTTATAGTAACGATGTCAACGATAATAGGTAGTGATTCATTGATTTGCCACAGCCGTCATACAGAAAAAAAGAGTAAACTAATCAAATCATAATTTTGAGAAAAAACCAATATCAGTGTTTGTGACCTTATCGAGATATATAATAGTGTGTCGAGATCTTGTCTTCTTTAGATCAGTTAAAATAATGACTCGAATAATTCTAATCATGTTAAATTCAGAAAAAGAAGAGAGTGCCATTAAAAAAAACAAGAAAAAAATTCTGTTCAAACTACAATACAGTTGATTATCCTTTCAAAGGGATTGCGGTGACAAGCAATTTTTAAACAGTATAAAGTACAATTTTCTGATTACTGTTATTTATAGTAAAAGATTAATAGTCAAACATAACTGCGGAACTTTTGGTTTCAGTAAGGATCACTGATAATATTATGTAAGATTTTCAAGTATAAAATTTTTAAAAGAAAAATATAAATTATTAAATATCGGGCATGTCAATAATTATTAGAAATAGTGTAATAGTTCTGCGCATACAACGAATATCTTATTTATTTACATAGACTTTCTAAAAAAAAGTTAAAATAAATTAATATCATTTTAATTAAATCAAAATACAATCTTCTTCTGTTTTCTAATTTACTATATTCTTGGATTTTTGAATAATTTTCTAAATAGATAACAAATCAAATGATCACAACATCAAAAATGTATATAACTGATAATTATACACAAACAATATGGTCTCAAGATCAAGGACATGTTATATCAAAATTACGTGATTGTATTAAATTAAATGATGAATATCAACGATGTTTTCAATCAACAAAAAATAAATTAGCATCAAATCCATCTGAACGTCCATTTGATTTTAGTGAAATGTATATTTTTGGAAAATTTGATTCATTTGTACGACGATGTGAAAAAATTATTGATATGTTTGGAACAATAAATATGTATTCACATTTAGCTGATTCTAAAATTGAAGGTATATCACCATTTTATTCGAAATTTAATATGATTATAACATCAATGAAGAAAAAAGATTATGATTTTTTGGATCAACGTAAACAAGATGTTGATAGTGATTTAGATGATTTTCGTCGTTCAATAGCTGATCTTCATAGTAATATAAATGAATTTCTTGATAAATATTTTAATGCTATACGTAATACTGAACGATCATTAACTGCATTAAAACGTTTTGAAAAATTACTATTACCAAATATTGGTTTAAATGAAAAATATGCAAAAATTTTACAACAATATTCTAAAGATTTGGATTCAGTTGCCAAAATTTATCAAAAAAATTCTAAAGAACCACTTATTTCAAGAGATTTACCACCAACAGCTGGTAAGATTTTTTTTTTGTTTTCATTTTCACAATTAAATTAAACTTACTATTACTGTTGTTGTGTGTTTTTTAAGGTCGAATCATGTGGGCTCGTCAATTGTATATGCGTATTCAACAACCGATGGATATTTTTATTGCAAATAAAACCATTCTTCAATATCCTGAAGCAAAAAAAATTATTAAAAATTATAATCAACTCTCTAAAGTTCTTTTATCATACGAAATTCTATATCATCGTGGATGGCTTCGTCAAGTCGATGTTGTTGCAACTGGTATACATTCTAGTATATTAATACGTGTTAATCATGATGAACTTTTATCGGCTGCCTCAACACATACAGGCATATCATCTGTTGTAACATCAACATCACAAACAAATCCAGAATATTTAGTTAATCTTGATCCAAATATTCTTGAATTAATACGAGAAACTCAATGTTTGGCACGTTTAGGTTTAGAAATTCCAAAAGAAGCTGCTATATTAGCACAACGTGAAGATTATCTTAAAAAACATTATCAAGATTTAACACAATTAGTCGAAAAAAATAAACGTTTAAGAGAAAAAATTAAACAACCATTTGAAGCATTATTAGCACCGAAAATTCATCGTTTAAATGATATTATTAAACCTGGTTTAACATCGTTAACATGGGCATCATTAACTATCGATGATTTTATAAATTCTGTTCGTTTAATTTTTTCTTTTGTAATGTTTCTTCTCTTGTTACTCTATTTCTATTTTTAAATAGGTTAACGCTGCATTAGATGAATTTGATTTAATGCTAGATCGTGCAAATGATCTTATAGCATATCGTATCGATGCAGTACTTGATGAAATAGCAACAATGACTCTTTGTGATTTACCTGAAGATGAACCAATAACACCTGATCAATTTTTACAACATACTCAAGTAAAATAAAAACCAAAAGAAAAAGATTTATATTGTTTTTTTTTCCTGTTCAATAGAATTTATGTAATCTTGCATCAAAACAAATTCAAATGAAATCTCATAATGTTGAAGATGCTGTACTTGAAGTTATTGATCTTTTATGTGGAAATATAATTGGTACTAATGGTGATGGTGATGAACAAGGACAATATTCAAATATTGCTTTAGACCTTGATGATGAAGAATCTGATGGTTGAATTTTCTTTTTTAAATTAAATTTTTTAAATAAATTGTTTTGTATTATTGTAGATGAAACAACAACTATTCATGATCAGAGTACACATAAATCAGCTCGAAGTAGTCGACAACAATCAAGTGTAACAAATCGAACACGACAAGTATCATCAGGAAAATCATCAAGAGTACGAACGAAATCCGCAAATCTATTAGCAACAAAATCACGTCGTAAACGTGAACAACAAAATGAAAATTTACAAGTTGCTATTATAGAATTAATTAATCATTTTAGTCATCGAAATCTTGATGCTATTGTACGTGTTATTAAAATGACTTTAGAAAAATTAAGAAAACGTATTACATCAACACTTAGTTATAGTAATTAGAAATTAAAAATATTCTTTTCTTATTTTTTATTTTAAATTTTTTTCAATAGGTCGAAATCATCAAGAAGCACCAGTATTTAAAGTTTTTGCTGAATTAGCTATTCCAAATGTAACTATTCAACCACCAACTGATGAAGTACAAATTTATTTAAATAAAGCTGTACAAACGATTGTGTCTGTTGCAAAAACTATTTCACAATGGGATAAAAATAGAAAAAGAGTAAGTCAAGAAATGATTTAATATTCAAATAAATAAAATCATGTTGAGTAAACCAAATATATATATATATGTCGAAATATGTCAATTTTTTTAGACAATGATGTTATCTTTGAATATAACGAAAGTATTAGTTTCTCTTGGAATATTAAAATCAACAAGCAATGATTTTTCTTTATTAAGAAATTTAAATAGACAAGTAAACTTTTCTTTTTATGCATGTCACTTCCGTTAGTTTAATGGTGTTAGTTTTTTTTTGTCTTCAATTGCATGAATTGATTTCTATTGAGCAAAATTTACTCTTTAATAGAACTTATTTTTTTCATACATTTTTTCTTCTTTTTCTAGCAAAGCAAACGTACTAATAAACTTGACACACCATTGGATGCACAAGCTGGTGAAAGTGAAACTCATCCTGGAGTAAATCCTACATCAGATCATGAAGAAGAAAATTATCCAGCCACTCCAGGTTCAACATCAGTTGGCATTAATCTTGAAACATCTGCAAAAGATATATTTCATCAAGGATTATCTGTTACTGATGGTACAGCTAGTCGATTACGAGGCAATGAACAAACTACCAATTCAGATCAACCACATGCTCGAGTACAATTTACTCCGGCAAATAATTATTTTAAAAATGTATCTGAAAATAAAGATGTTGCTAAATTAGTTTCACTATTAGCCACATGTATTAATGCAACAAAAAAAGTATGGAATATCTTATTATCTATTTTTATTGATAAAGATTCTCTTTTTTTATCGTAGGAAATAACAACAGCATTGGAAATATTCACACGATTTAATGCTCTATGGCAACGAGATCGTGATGAAGAATTAAAAGATTTTCTATCACAAGAACCACGTGTATCTGAGTTTGAAGCTAAAATTAAATTTTATGAAAATTTAGCATCAGATATTAATACACAACCAGAATTTATGCCTGTTGGTCCACTAGCTATTTTTACTGGTATGTTATTGTTGTAATTTTTCCGATAGTTAAATTAATGATTTCATTTTTTCTTTCTCTTTAGAACATTTAAAATTTGCTCTTAATCAAGAAGTTCGTGATTGGATAGTTCGTTATGGTCAAGCATGTAATTTAAAATATCGAAAAGAAATGAATGAAGTTAGCGCATTCGTTGAAGATATTGAAAAACGTTTATCACGTCCTATCAATGACTTAGAAGACATTCGTTTAATTATGCTTGCAATTAAAGATTTACGAGATAATGAAATTCGTATTGATATGAGTATAGCACCAATTGAAGAATCATATACAATGTTACAAGTTCATGGTCTTAATGTTGCACGAGAAGAATGTGATCGAGCTGAATCAATAAAATTCAATTGGGAAAAACTTCAACGTCATTGTGTAAGTACAAAAAGAAGTATTTTATGTCATTAATATGATATTTTTTGCTTTGTGTATAGAGTGAAGTAACATCATATTTACTTAAAATTCAACCAGCAAAACGATCCGAATTATTAGAAAATGTTAAAATATTTATTGAAGAATGTGAAAAATTTTATATTGATTATGAAAAAGGTGGACCAACAATATCAGATTTAACACCACGTGAATCAAGTGATAGACAAATACTATTTCAGAGTCGTGTAGAAAATTTATATAAAAAATATGAAACATATCATGGTGGAGAATTATTATTTGGTTTAGCAATAACTGATTTTCCACAATTAGAAAAAATTAAAAAAGACTTAACATTATTACAACGTCTTTATGGTTTATATAATAAAGTATTAGATACTGTTGCAGGTTATTTTGATATAGCATGGGTTGATGTTAATATTGATAAAATCAATCAAGAATTATCTGATTTCCAAACAGCTTGTAGAAAATTACCTAAAGGTTTAAGAGAATTTCCAGCTTTTCATGCATTAAAAAAAACAATTGATGATTTTAGTGAATGTAAGTTTTAATAAATAAAATTTCTCTTTTTTTTAAATTTTATTTATATTCAATTTAGGTTGTCCTTTGTTAGAAATGATGTCAAATCGAGCTATGCAAAGTCGTCATTGGCAACGAATAGCTGAAGTAACTGGTGCACATAATTTAGATGTTGAAGCTGATGATTTTCGTTTGAGAAATGTTATGGATTTACCAATACTTCAATTCAAAGAAGATATTGAAGATATTTGCATTGCAGCTGTTAAAGAACGAGATATTGAAGGAAAACTTAAACAAGTTGAATCTGATTGGAAAGCACAAGAATTTAATTTTGCTCAATTTAAAACACGAGGAGAATTATTACTTAAAGGTGATCGAGTGCAAGAAGTTATCAGTCTATTGGAAGATTCTCTTATGTTACTTGGTTCATTGATGTCAAATAGGTTTGTAATTTAACATAAAAAAACTTTTTTTCTTCTAAAAATTTGTCTTTTTTTTTCTAGATATAATGTTCCATTTCGAAAACAAATTCAAAAATGGGTTAAAGATTTAACTGATACAAATGAAATTATTGAAAATTGGATGCGTGTACAAAATTTATGGGTTTATTTAGAAGCTGTTTTCGTTGGTGGTGATATTGCTAAACAATTACCACAAGAAGCTAAACGTTTTTCATCTATTGATAAATCTTGGCTTAAAATCATGTCTAAAGCACATGAACAACCAGCTGTTGTACCATGTTGTACAACAGATGAAACATTAAAACAATTATTACCACATCTTCTTGAACAACTTGAATTATGTCAAAAATCTTTAACTGGTTATTTAGAACGAAAGCGTCTTTCATTTCCACGTTTCTTTTTTGTATCTGATCCAGCCTTATTAGAAATCTTAGGTCAAGCTAGTGATCCACATACAATTAAAGCACATTTATTAAGTGTATTTGATAATATAAAAACCGTACGATTTCATGAAAAAGAATATGATAAAATTTTAACTATTGAATCGTCCGAAGGTGAAACAGTTGAAGTAAGTTCAATGGAATCATTTTTTTTTCTTTGTATTGAATATAATTCTATGTAATTATTTTATTTATTTAGCTTGAAAAACCTGTTAAAGCAGAAGGTAATGTTGAAATATGGTTAATGTCACTTCTTAAAGAAGCTCAACGATCATTACATGGTGTTATTCGTCAAGCTCATCATGCTTTATCGGATCCATCATCATTTAATCTTATTGAATTTCTTAATACATATCCAGCACAAGTTGGTCTATTAGGTATACAATTAATATGGACACGTGATGCAACAGAAGCACTACGTCATGCTAAAGTAGATAAAAATATTATGAGACAAACAGCTAAAGTCTTTAGTGATTTACTGGATTTATTAATTGATCAAACAACAAAAGATTTAACACGTGTTGAACGTACAAAATATGAAACATTAATAACAATACATGTACATCAAAAAGATATATTTGATGAACTTGTTCAAACTAATGTTCGAACTATAGGTGATTTTGATTGGCTTAAACAAACAAGATTTTATTTTGTTGAAGAATTAGATAAAGTACAAATATCGATTACTGATGTTGATTTTACTTATATGAATGAATTTCTTGGATGTAATGAACGTTTAGTTATTACACCATTAACTGATCGATGTTATATTACATTAGCACAAGCATTACATATGAGTATGGGTGGAGCACCTGCTGGACCAGCTGGAACAGGTAAAATAATTTATTCGAAATTCTTCAAAACTAAATTGGCTAAATGAACAGTGACAGATTATTCTATTATGTTGGAAGAACTATCGAGTGATGAAGTTTTAAAATAATAAGACATGAAATACATTGCCGTTCATCAAGATTTACGGCTATAAAAGAGGAAATTCAGCGAAAAGCTAACCCAGGAAGTCCGATAGCTGATCAATCACTTTTTAGTCAGGACTATGTACGTCTTGTAGATTTTAATAAGCTATGAATATCTTGAAAAAAGTTCAGAGTCTTGGCTTATTGTTGCAAATGTATTGCAGTATGATCGTATTTTTTAAGTCAATGTTGTCGTTGCCCTGATAAACATTAGGAAAAGTGATTTTCAAATTTTGTCTTGAAACTTTACATAGAGACAGTCCTTGATGAGAATAGTTTATTGTGAAAATTTTAAATCTTTTCGTTATTACTACCTCAGAGAGGACTATGATAAAAGCGTGTCTTATATATTGATCATATACTTCGGCAATCGATTTTCTAATTTCAAGATATAATTAATTCAAAAGACTTGAAACTTTCACAATAAACTATTCTCGTTACAATCAGCTTCTTTGCAAAATTTCAAATCAAAATTTGAAAATAAATTTAACCGATGTTCACGAGAGGAAACACAGCATTGACTAATCTAATACAACCGTCATGCACTATGTAGCAATAAACTAAAATCCAAATTTTTTCACGGTATTTATAGTTCATTAGAATTTACATAATAGATCTAGTTTCGACCCAACAGTAATTCATCGATTGGGCAAGAGAAAACTAAATCGCATATCCTTATGGAATACGATTGAAGTTATGTGTATCTTGCTACATTTCACAAGCCATTGGATACGTTTCAATAGTTCTATATTCAATAGAAAATGTAATCGAAATATTTTAAGTCTAACGAATTTTAAATTAGCTTTGTAATATGTTATTTATTTTTTTATATTTAAGGAAAAACTGAAACAGTTAAAGATATGGGACGATGTCTTGGAAAATACGTTGTTGTAAGTATATGATGAAATCGTGTCTTTTTCTTTTAATAAATCAATTGATTTCTATTCATAAATAGGTATTTAATTGTTCTGATCAAATGGACTTTCGTGGTTTAGGTCGTATATTTAAAGGTTTAGCTCAATCAGGTTCATTTGGTTGTTTTGATGAATTTAATCGTATTGATTTACCTGTACTTTCTGTTGCTGCACAACAAATAGCTATTGTACTTGCTTGTAAAAAAGAAAAAAAACGTCAATTTATATTTACAGATGGTGATCTTGTTGAAATGAACTTGGAATTTGGCATATTTTTAACAATGAATCCAGGTTATGCTGGTCGACAAGAATTACCTGAAAATTTAAAAATTAATTTTCGTTCCGTTGCTATGATGGTACCTGATCGTTTACCAATTATTCGTGTTAAAATGGCTGCATGTGGTTTTAGAGAAAACGTTCCGTTAGCAAAGAAATTTTATACACTTTATAAACTATGTGAGGAACAACTTAGTAAACAAGTAAGAATTTCATTTTCTTTTTTGAGTTATAGATATATATTACTGGCCAAAAGTAGCAATACCAGGTACAAGTAACCAAAAACTTGACTGTTGGAATTTGTCCAAAAACCCTCATTTGTAAGCTGGATCTCTAGTCTTTCTACAGTAAAGTTTTTGTGTGCAATCACCTTTGTCTTGTTAAGTTTTATGTTTGTAGTTTGAGAATCATCTTCAGCTGGCATATTAGTATGTAAAGATAAGTTGACTATAACTGAGACAATTTATCTATGGGGACTAATATGCCTGTAGCAAACGATTCTCAAATACAAACATAGAACTCGACAAGAGAAAGATGATTTCGCATAAAATCTTTACAATAGAAAAGCTAGATGTTTAGCTATCAAATACGAGTTCTTGCACAAACGAAAGTGTTCGGATTATAGAGATCTAGATATCCTTAGGTTAAGTAATATTTCACCCACAGTTCTATTATTTGTCATTCTACTAAACCCAACTTGTGATAAAATTTTCCGTTCTAACACTCGGAATTTTGATTACTTTTTTCTGGCGTCGCTACTTTTGATCAGTAGTATATATAAGATATAAATGAAATTCTAGGTTCATTATGATTTTGGTTTACGAAATATTTTATCCGTATTACGAACACTTGGTGCTGTTAAACGTGCAAATAAAGATGATTTAGAAAAGACGATTGTTATGCGAGTACTTCGTGATATGAATCTATCAAAATTAGTACGTTGTCTTTTGTTGTTGTTGTTGTTGTTTTGTTTTTTGTTATAATGTAAATCGATTTGCTTTATTTTCGTATAGGTTGATGAAGATGAACCTTTATTTATATCACTTATTAATGATCTTTTTCCAAATATAAAATTAGAAAAAGAATCATATGTTGAATTAGAAGCAGCTATTGATAAAGAAGCTCAAGCTGCTGGACTTATATGTCATCCACCATGGATATTAAAAATAATTCAAGTAAGAAATTCTGGTTTTGTTTTTCTTTGGCCTAAAATTTCTTGTCTATTCTTTGTTTAGTTATTTGAAACTCAACGTGTCCGTCATGGAATGATGACATTAGGACCATCAGGTGTTGGTAAAACATGTTGCATTCATACATTAATGAAAGCAATGACAATATGTGGTGAACCACATCGTGAAATGCGTATGAATCCAAAAGCTATAACAGCACCACAAATGTTTGGTCGATTAGATGCAGCAACAAATGATTGGACTGATGGAATATTTTCAACATTGTGGAGACGAACATTACGTACCAAAAAAGGTGAATTTGTTTGGCTTGTGTTAGATGGTCCAGTTGATGCTATTTGGATTGAAAATTTAAATTCAGTATTAGATGATAATAAAACATTAACATTAGCCAATGGTGATCGAATACCAATGGCACCAAATTGTAAAATTATTTTTGAAGTACATAATATTGATAATGCATCACCAGCTACTGTTAGTAGAAATGGTATGGTTTATATGAGTAGTTCTGGTTTAGATTGGCGACCATTAATTCAAGTAAATAAATTAATAAATATATATAAAATGGTTTCGAAAATTATTCGATTATGTTTATTTTCAATTTTTTTCCGCTACCATAAACTTTAATAAGAATCCAAATAATGATTATTCTAGAGAGTCTTATTTTTAACATGAATTTTCGAATATAAGAATGATTACTTGCTTTTCGATGATAGGATCTCTGAGTAACCCAAGTTTTCACTTCTTAGAACTTGCAAATAGGTTTCTGTTTGAGTTGTACAAAATGATAGGAACGAAGGAATTTCTCCAAAATGAAATATATACTAGTTCTCTACGACGTTTTTTGAACGAGGTAGATCAACTTTACGGAAGATACAAAAGTCATTGATTCTACTATTTCGTATGGATACATAATTTTCGTGCTCTTCTAAAAGTTGTTGCATATTGTTCAAATATCATTGTGAAAAATTGATAGATAGAGTTTGGCGATTCTAGTTCGATTTACAAGATGTCACGTGGAACTGAAATCATTAAATTATCAAATACATTCAAGAATTTTATATATATTTTGAGAAATTTTTACTATTGATTTATTGCGATTAAGGATCCCATATATTTCAATACTAAAACAAAAAAACAACAAATATTATCCATATATACTGAAATGTTTAATACCAGGAATGAAAACATGACGATTTCTCTGCATAAGTTTCAGAATTTTGTATGTATCTGATGATTAAATGGTTTCAGTCTTTTTTAGAACTCTACTGATAGACATTGTATTTTATAGAAAATTGTTTGCTCTATCACTCTGTGTAATTCAAACAAAAATCTATTTGCAAGTTCTAATAAGTGAAAACTTCGGTTACTCAGTGACCCTATCCTCGGAAAGCTAATAATCATTCTCATATTCGAAAATTCTTGTTAAAAATAATGTTTTGATCCCAGATCACTATTTGGATTCTTATTAGTGTGTATCGTAGTAGTAAAAAATTAAAACTAAATATAGTCGAATAATTTTGAGAACCACTGTATGTATAAATATATAGATTTTGAAAAAGAAGAAAATAAAAAAATTTATTTTCAATATAGGGTTGGACAAAACGTGAACGATCATTAAGTGATGGTGAAGTTTTAATGCGTTTATTTGAATCATCATTTCCATTTATTTATCGACATTTTTCTATTCATCTTAAATCAAAAATGCCTATACTTGAATGTATGATTGTTACTCAGGTATAATTAATTATATAATTATCTATATTTTATTTTGAATTAATTTATTTCAATTTAGGCATGCAAATTATTAAATGGTTTATTACCATTAAAAGAAGCTAAAGATCAATTAACACCACAGCATGTTGAACGTTTATATGTATTTGCAGTAATGTGGTCAGTTGGTGCTTTTCTTGAATTAGATGATCGTGCACGTTTACAAGATTATATATTAAATTGTACTGATGCTAGTTTTCGTTTGGATACACCAAAATTAACCGAAGGTAGTGAAGATACAATATTTGATTATTTTGTTCATGAAAAAACTGGTGCATGGACACATTGGAATAGTGTTGTTACTGAATATGTTTATCCAAAAGATCATGATCCAGAATATGCATCTATACTTGTACCTAATGTTGATAATGTTCGAACAGATTTTCTTATTCATACAATTGCAAAACAACATAAAGTAAAATATTAGAAAAAATTGAAATTTTTGTATAAATAATAATTGTATTTTTTAGCCTGTTCTTCTTATTGGTGAACAAGGTACAGCTAAAACTGTTATTATACAATCATATATGAGTAGATATAATGCTGAAGAACATTCACAAAAAACAGTTAATTTTTCATCTGCTACAACACCAAATATGGTTCAAAGAATAATTGAATCCTATGTTGATAAACGTGTTGGAACGACATATGGTCCACCAGCTGGTAAAAAGATGACTGTATTTATCGATGATAGTACGTTTTACCAAAAACAAAAACAAAGTGTCTATAAGAATAATTTTGTTTTTTGATTATTTTCTTTAGTTAATATGCCAACAATAAATGAATGGGGTGATCAAATAACGAATGAAATTGTTCGTCAATTAGTTGAACAAAGTGGTTTTTATTCATTAGAAAAACCAGGTGAATTTACAACTATTGTTGATATACAATTACTTGCTGCTATGATACACCCTGGTGGTGGTCGAAATGATATTCCACAACGTCTTAAACGGCAATTTTGTATATTTAATTGTACATTGCCATCGAATGTATCTATTGATAAAATATTTTCTGTTATTGCAACAGGACATTATGCTAAAGAACGTGGATTTACGGATGAAGTACGTTCACTTATTGAAAGACTTGTACCAGCTACAAGACGTTTATGGCAATTAACAAAAGTTAAAATGTTACCAACACCAGCTAAATTTCATTATGTTTTTAATCTACGTGATCTTTCACGTATATGGCAAGGAATAATTAATACTATTCCACAAGTTATTAATAATGAAAAAACTGTAATTCATTTATGGAAACATGAATGTTCACGAGTTATATGTGATAGGTAAATGAAAAAGAAATATGAAAGAAAAACGAAAAAAGTTTCTTTTTGACATAAATATATATATATATCGTTTTAATAAAATCTGATTCTTATTCAATCAGATTTGTGGTTGAAGACGATGTATTCTGGTTTGAAAAAGCATTTCGACGTATGACTGAAGAAGATTTAGGACCAACATTAGGTGCCTATATACAACAGACTAAATATTTTGTCGATTTTCTCAGGTCTTTTCATGATTGAAATATCGAACACTAAAAAATCAAAAGTTTTTACACTTTGCACATGCACATGCACTTGTTTTTTGAGTGTGTTTTGTTTTTGTTTCACAGGTTCACTGATATTGAAGATTTTCGTTGGTTTGTGAAAACAGTTGAACGTGTAGCTGAAGAGGAATTAGGTGCAAAATATCATGCTATGGCAAAAAAAGAAGAGTATTTTGTCGATTTCTTAAGGTATCACATTTCTCACATTCACGTTTTATTTCTATATTTATTTAAAATCTTTCTTATGTTTCTTTTATTAATCATTATTAAATGTTTTTAGAGATGCTCCTGAACCAACAGGTGAGGAAGCAGAAGATGCCGATTTAGAGGCACCTAAGATTTATGAACCAACACCTTCGTTCGAAGCTCTTGAAGAACGTTTAAAAATGTATTTAACACAGTATAATGAAAGTATTCGTGGTTCAGGAATGGATTTAGTCTTCTTTAAAGATGCAATGGCACATTTAGTTAAAATTTCTCGTATAATTCGAACACCACGTGGTAATGCTTTATTAGTTGGTGTTGGTGGTAGTGGTAAACAATCATTAACAAAATTAGCATCATTTATTGCTGGTTATAAAACCTTTCAAATAACATTAACACGTGCATATAATACAAATAATTTATTAGAAGATTTAAAAACACTTTATCGTATTGCTGGAAAAGAAGGAAAAGGAATAACATTTATATTTTCTGATCAAGATATTAAAGATGAATCATTTCTTGAATATATTAATAATGTACTTTCATCAGGAGTTGTATGTTAAAATTAATTTAAATCATTTCTTTGTTTTTTTTTACAAAACAAAAAAAATATTAAATTTTAGGTTCCAGGAATGTTTCCTAGAGATGAAATGGATGAAATATGTCAAGAATTAGTACCTATTATGAAAAAACAATATCCAAGAAGACCACCAACAAATGAAAATTTATATGATTATTTTCTATCTCGTGTTCGACAAAACTTACATGTTGTTTTATGTTTTTCACCAGTTGGTGAAAAATTTCGTAAACGAGGTACAGTAACATTAAAAAAAAGACTTACATTTGTTCTTTTAAATTAAAATAATTTCTTTCCTTTTTCTTTTTTTTTGTAAAGGTCTACAATTTCCTGGTCTTGTGGCAAATTGTACAATTGATTGGTTTCTTCGTTGGCCACGTGATGCACTTGTTGCTGTTGCTGATCATTTTCTTTCATCATTTAATATTGTTTGTACGGATGCAATTAAAAAAGAACTTGTTCAATGTATGGGTTCAGTACATGATGGTGTAGCAGAATATTGTTTACAATATTTTCAAAAATATCGTCGATCAACACATGTTACACCGAAATCATATCTTTCATTTATAAATGGTTATAAAGAAATATATTCACAAAAATTAAATGAAATTGAATCTATGGCTAAACGTATGAATGATGGTCTTACACGTTTAGTTGAAGCTGAAAAAGCTGTAATAGTTATGAAAGAAGAATTAACAATTAAAGAAAAAGAATTAGATATAGCAAATAAAAAAGCTGATGAAGTTTTAAAAGAAGTTGCAGTTAAAAAAGGTGCAGCTGAAGTCGTTAAGCATCAAGTACAAAAAGTTAAAGATACAGCACAAACATTAGTCGATGAAATTAATCGAGACAAAATGGAAGCTAATGCTGAACTTGAAAATGCTAAACCCGCATTACTTGTAAGTTGTTAATTATATGAAAGTATATTATCAAATATAATCATATATCATTTCAGGCAGCTGAAGAAGCTTTATTAACAATAACACCTGCTGATATTTCTGTTGTACGTAAACTTGGTCGTCCACCACGTCTTATTCGTCAAATTATGGATTGTGTCTTAATACTTTTTGGACGTCCATTAAGAAATCCATTAAAAATTGATCCTGAATTACAAGGACCTGAACCCAGTTGGGAAAGTTCATTAAAAGTATGTATCTAGATTATATGTTTTTGTTTTTGTTTTACCAAAAAAGAAAATACTAAATTTATTTGTTTTAGCTTATGTCTGATACAGGTTTTCTCCAAAATCTTCAAGCATTTCCACGTGATCGTATTAATGATGAACAAATTGAATTACTTCAATCATATTTTCGTGTACCTGATTATACATATGAAGGTGCTAAAGTAGCTGCTGGTGCTATAGCTGGTTTATTAACATGGACACGTGCTATGGCTGATTTTTTCTATGTTAATAAACGTGTTTTACCATTAAAAGGAAATTTAGCTATGCAAGAAGCTCGTTTAGTTAAAGCTAATGCACAATTACAAACAGCCCAAGACGAACTTGATCGACGTGAAGCTGAAGTAGCTGCAGCACAAGCTGAATATGATACTGCTATGGCAACAAAACAACGTTTACAAGATGATCTTGATCGAACATTAAAACGAATGAATGCAGCTAGAGAATTAATATCTGGTTTAGCTGATGAACAAGAACGATGGACTGAACAAAGTAAACAATTTAAAGCTCAAATTGGACGGTAAAAGAAAAAACCAAATAACAGTATGAATAAAATTTTGTTTTCATTTTTAGATTGGTTGGCGATGTACTTCTTTGTACTGGTTTTCTATCATATCAAGGTCCATTTAATCAAGATTTTCGTTTATTATTAGCAAAAGATTGGCAAAAATTATTAACAGAAAGAAGTATTCCATTTACACGTGCATTAAATGTAACTGAATATTTAACTGATGTAACAATGGTTGGTGAATGGAAATTACAAGGTTTACCGAATGATGAATTATCAATACAAAATGCTATTATTGTGACACGCGCTAAACGTTATCCATTATTAATTGATCCACAAGGACAAGGAAAAGCTTGGATTAAAAATAAAGAAGCATCAAATGATTTACAATCAACAAATCTTTTAGCAAAACATTTTCGACAACATTTAGAAGATTCTTTATCACTTGGTAGACCATTAATAATTGAAGATGTTGGTGAAGAACTTGATCCAGCATTAGATAATGTTTTAGAAAAAAATTTTATTCGTTCTGGTACAACACTTAAAGTTAAAGTTGGAGATAAAGAAGTTGATATATTAAAAGGTTTTAATTTATATCTAACAACAAAATTAGCTAATCCAGCATTTACACCAGAAATATCAGCTAAAACATCTGTTATTGATTTTACTGTTACAATGAAAGGATTAGAAGATCAATTATTAGGTTTAACTATTTTGAAAGAAAAAGCTGAATTAGAAGGTGAACGTGTTAAAATGTTAGAAGATATTCAAGCTAATAATAAACGAATGAAAGAACTTGAAGATAATTTATTGATGAGATTAAGTAATTCAAAAGTAAGTATTGATATCATCATTGAAATTTATTTATTCATTAATTTTTCTGTAGGGTTCATTAGTTGATGACGATGATCTAATTCGAACATTAAAAATTACAAAAGTAACATCAACTGATGTTAAACAAAAACTTCAAATAGCAACTGAAACTAGTCAAAAAATAAATATTGCTCGTGAAGAATATCGTCCAGTTGCAACACGTGGTTCAATTATTTATTTTCTTATTGTTGAAATGTCACTTGTTAATGTTATGTATCAAACATCATTAAAACAATTTTTACAATTATTCGATCAAGCATTAGAACGTTCACCACGAGTAAATTAATTATTAAACTTTAATAATAAATAAATTTTGATATTTTATTTTTCTTTTCTTCTTAATTAATTTTAGTCACCAGTTACATCTAAACGTATTACTAATATAATGGAATATTTAACATATGACATGTATAAATATGCTGTTCGTGGTTATTATGAAGAACATAAATTTATGTTTACACTTTTATTAGCATTAAAAATTGATTTACAATCAAGTCGACTTAAATTTGATGAATTTCAAACATTAATTAAGGGTGGTGCATCAATTGATGCCAGCACAGGTATTTAGGTTTTTTTAAAGTTCTAATTTTGTAAGTTGTTCTATATATCATTTATTTTTTTAGCACCACCAAAACCACCATATAAATGGTTACAAAATGATTCTTGGCTGAATCTTGTTGAATTATCTAAACTTTATCAATTTAGTGATATACTTAATTCTGTAAGAAGTTTAAATTATATTCATTTTATTTATTATTTTATTGTTTTTGTTTAGCTTAATCGTGCTGGTGTAGCATGGGATACATGGTTTAAGGTATGCTAATAAAGAATTATTCAAAAATTTGAGGACTGTTGTTTTTTCCATTATTAATATCAATTTCAAAAATGCTTTAAATTGAATATTGTATTTCTTTCAATCAGATGATTATAAACGAATGAAAATTTCCTTATTATAATCTTGAAAGAGTATCAAAAAAAGATATTAAAATAAGATCTTGAAAAAAAAATACAACTACAATATTGATAATACACAAGAAGACAAAAAAAGTAAAAAACTACTTCACTCAAAATGAAATTTGAATATCATGATTCTAATTCAACTAAATGATTTGATTCTCTTATTACTAATAAACGAGTGCATATAGTTTAGATTTGTACGACAAACATGAATAATCGATTTTTTGAATTGTGATTATTCAGTTAAATAAAAAAGAGAAAACGTAATCATTTGCAGATTGCTAAATAGTTCTCTTGTCGAAGAATTAATTTGTTTACGGTAAAATACGACACATTAATGAAGTCGTATATCTTCGTAATACAAAGTTAGTAACGCATCTGTTTGTATGATAGAATATGGCAACATTACGATATCTTAACGGTGAGAATACGGTATTGTATACAATCAGTCGTACTGAATGTGTTATAACGACACAATATCGCATAACACCTGTCATTTACGGTAATGTTACAGTGATCCATAATGATTAACTTCGATTATTTATTTTTCTAAAGAAAACTAAAGGGCAAATCTATTTTTCTTGTCAACTCTTTCCTTGTATGATTTCATTTTTATACAATCATGTGTTTTTATTCTATATATTCAAAAAATTTCATCTGTGAACTCGAGGTATCCACAAGGATATCCAGATACCAGCATGTCACAGAAACCTTTGGGTACTATAGTATTTTAGGATACTTTATGGGTGTTTAACATCTGACTACAAGATGCTTTTAAATGCTCAATCTACTAACTTGTTGAAAACTTTTTATAGAATTCTATAGCACTTGAGCAAGTACCTAGTAAGTTTCTNCTGTCTGTATGATAGAATATGGCAACATTACGATATCTTTACGGTGAGAATACGGTATTGTATACAATCAGTCGTACTGAATGTGTTATAACGACACAATATCGCATAACACCTGTCATTTACGGTAATGTTACAGCGATCCATAATGATTAACTTGGATTATTTATTTTTCTAAAGAAAACTAAAGGACAAATCTATTTTTCTTGTCAACTCTTTTCTTGTATGATTTCATTTTTATACAATCATGTGTTTTTTATTCTATATATTCAAAAAATTTCATCTGTGAACTCGGGGTATCCACAAGGATACCCAGATACCAGCATGTCACAGAAACCTTTGGGTACTATAGTATTTTAGGATACTTTATGGGTGTTTAACATCTGACTACAAGATGCTTTTAAATGCTCAATCTACTAACTTGTTGAAAACTTTTTATAGAATTCTATAGCACTTGAGCAAGTACCTAGTAAGTTTCTATCTACTGACACAATCCTCAGCAGGGTACCCAGTCAAGACCGTGCGACATACTAGTAAAAATGTACCCTGCTGACAACTGACTTAATGCACGGATACCTTGAATTCTAGTACATTCATTAGAGTGTTTTTTTTTTACTAAGGTCGGTGATAATATTTCATAGTAGTATTTATTTTTGTAGCATCTTTCTTATGAATATTGCTTTATCAAGAGTAAAATAATCAAACTGTTAGACGAAGATTTAGTGAAGATATCTAAATTTTGTGTTTGCTAATAAAATGAGTTTTAATTCATTCTGTATCTATTCTCGATTTAGTAACACAAGTAAAGATCTAAAGATTTTCATTTAATAATCATCTAGTTGAAAGAGTAATTTTAAAAAAATTTGAATTCAATGTAACAAAGTTTTCTTTTTTTCTAATTCAAACATATATCCAGTTTCTCAACTGTACAACATCACGTTAGTATTTTGCTCGAAACTGATTCGCTCCTTGTTCATCTTTTTTTTTTTTTATTTTAATAATTTTTATCTATATATAATTTATTTTTAATAGAAAGATGAACCTGAACGTGCTGAATTACCTGATGGTTGGGAACCACAATTAGATAAATTTCGTCGTCTTCTTCTAATTCGTTCTCTAACACCAGCACGTTTTGTTAAATCGGCTCTTGATTATGTAATCGATTCATTAGGACCAAGATATGGTGATGGTGTTGTACTTGATATGGAAAAAATGTGGGATGAATCTGATAAATGTTCGCCAATGATATGTTTTCTATCAATGGGTTCAGATCCAACTGTACAAATAGAAACATTAGCAAAAAAGAAATCAATTGATTGTAATGCTATATCAATGGGACAAGGACAAGAAGTTCATGCACGACGATTATTAACACAAGCTTATGGAAATGGTGCTTGGGTATTATTACAAAATTGTCATTTATCATTAGATTTCTGTGAAGAATTTTTATTACAATTAACAGAAAATACAGATCGTATTCATCCAGATTTTCGTCTTTGGATAACAACTGAAGTTCATCCTAAATTTCCTATTGGTCTATTACAAATTTCAATTAAATATACAGCTGAACCACCACAAGGTGTTAAAGCTGGTTTAAAACGTACATTTGCTGGCTTAACACAAGAACAACAATTAGAATCAAATACACATGAAAAATGGCGTCCTTTATTATATGCTATTGCATTTTTACATACAATTGTACAAGAACGAAGAAAATTTGGTCCACTTGGATGGAATATACCATATGAATTTAATCAATCAGATTTTAATGCAACAGTTCAATTTATTCAAAATTATCTTGATGATATGGATGCAGCTAAAGTAATAAATTTATATGATTTGATCGGAATTTTTTTTTTTTTGAAATAATTTTGTTATCTTTCTAGCAAATGCAATGGAAAACTATTCATTATATGATTTCAGAAGTACAATACGGAGGTAAAAATAATATTTAATAACAAAAGAAACAAATAAAGGTTTTTCTTTTCGTTGCTTTCTATTTAGGTCGTGTAACAGATGATTTTGATAAACGTCTTTTGAAAACATATGTTAAATGTTGGTTTCGTGATGAAATGTTTGATTCTAATTTTCAATTTGAAGAAAAAACTTATCGTATACCGAAAATGAGTCGTATTGAAGATGTTTTCGATTATATTGAAACAATACCAAACTATGATAGTGGAAAAGTATTTGGATTAAGTCCATTAGCTAATGATAGGTTCGTATAAATAATAGAATAAATTAACACATTCGAGGCGATTCGCCTATTGGTAGGCCTCACTGTATAGTGTGGGTAAAAGTATTATTCAAGGGAGTATCACTATCATTTCAAATAGCTATTACAACTAATTTTATACCAGTTTAAAGCGCGCTAAATGGAGTTTCATTTGGTATAAAATTAGTTGTGTTAGCTATTTGAAATAATAGTGTTACTCCCTGGAATGATATTTTTACCAATNTATTATTCAAGGGAGTATCACTATCATTTCAAATAGCTATTACAACTAATTTTATACCAGTTTAAAGCGCGCTAAATGGAGTTTCATTTGGTATAAAATTAGTTGTGTTAGCTATTTGAAATAATAGTGTTACTCCCTGGAATGATATTTTTACAAATCCTGTGTAGCGTGGCCCACCGGTGGGCCACATCGCCTCGAATGTGTTAAACTTGAAATCGAATAAAAAATTTTGCTTTTCAATAATATAATCTGAAAAGTCTTAATGAAATAACAATTGAAGTGATCAAAACAATATGAAATAGAATGTTCTGTGATAAAGATATGTCTTACGAAAGAGGATCTTCAAATATGAGTCTCCATTTTCAATCGACTTTCTATCAGCTTTTACAGTTCGATGGATTGATCGTAATGAGATAAAGCGTTCTTTCATATTGAATGGTTTCTTTTTAGGAGTTAAGTCGATTTTAATTTGAGAAAAATGACTATAAACTTTTATTTTGAAAATTTTAATTTTTATGTTAGTTTTCAATGCTGAGAGTTAAATTAACATAAAAATTAAAATTTTCAAAATAAGAAGACGCAATCGTTTTTCTGAAATTGAAATTGACTTTACTCCTAAAAAAGACATTCAATGGAGAAGAACACTTTATATTATAGTGATCAGCGCATCGAACTCTACAAGCTGATAAAAAAAACTGATTGAAAAATAAAACTCATACTTGAAGATCTTTCCTCGTTAGACACTGCTGTAATCTCAATGTATTCTTCTGAAACAAGATTCTAAGAAATTAATCTTGCTATGATATTTTTTTAACAGAAATTTACTGCTTTTGACAATTTAAAAATATGAAAGCAATCGATTTTCTATTTGCATATTTTCATAAATAACTCTTTATTTTGTTGTACTTCTGCCAAGTTTTTCATGAGTTCTTATGGACAAATAATTTCAAACGAACAAAAATATAACATCAAAGGACTTGATCACTTCTATAATCTCATCAATCTGATTGTTTCCATTATTAAATCATTTTTAAGTTGTAGAAATCTTCTGTTGAGTTCAATATTCAAAACATGCGAAATATCATAATTACTTTCAAATATCCGATATAGATTCACTATAAAATTTAACATCTATTATTTAATTTTAATTAATTTAGATATCAAGAAGATACAACTAAAAAAGTTCTTGATACCATATTAAGTATTCAACCAAAAGAAGCTCGTGGTGGTGCAGGTGAAACACGTGAAGCTGTCATATATCGCTTAGCTACTGAAACATTAGAAAAATTACCACCAGATTATATTGCACATGAAGTTAAAGAACGTCTTGCAAAACTTGAACCGATGAATATATTTCTTCGACAAGAAATAGATCGTTTTCAACGTGTACTGAATGCTGTACGACGTACATTAATTGATTTAAAATTAGCTATTGATGGTACGATTGTTATGAATGAAGAATTACGTGATGCACTTGATCGAATGTATGATGCTAAAATTCCAACTGTTTGGTTAAAATTATCATGGGAATCGTCAACATTAGGTGCTTGGTTTACAGATTTATATGCACGAAATGAACAATATCGTTCTTGGTTAAAACTTGATAAAGATACAAGACCAATTGCTTTTTGGATGACAGGATTTTTCAATCCACAAGGATTTTTAACAGCTATGCGACAAGTAAGAAATGAAAGAAAAAAAAAAGATTCATTTTTATTTCTCTATTATTTTATATAATTTCTTTTCTTTTCTTTTTCTTGTTTTCAAGGAAGTAACAAGAGCTAATCAAGGTTGGTCATTGGATAATGTTGTTTTAACAAATAAAGTTACACGAATGGATCGTGAAGCATTAAAAGAACCCCCACGTGAAGGTCTTTATGTATATGGTTTATATATTGAAGGAGCTAAAATAAAAAATGGTGTTTTGGATGAATTAAAAGCAAATGAAAAAGTCTTAACACATCTAATGCCTGTTATTCATATATCAGCTGAAGCTGATTTTGGCACAGGTGCAGCACCATCAAAACAAGATCGTCGTCCTGTTTATTATGCACCTGTTTATAAGAAACCACGTCGAACAGATAGAAACTTTGTGTGTACACTCAAATTAGAATGTCCACCAGGTGATAAAGCTGGACCTGATGTATGGACATTGAGAGGTGTTGCACTTCTTTGTGATACGAAATAAACATTGTATTTTATGTTTTTCTGTTTCGATTTTTCTTTTTTGTATAGTGAAACTATTTTACTGATTATCTAATCATAACATGAATAAAAAATCTTTTCTTCTTTTAACTTTCGTTATATTGCATTATAAGAGAATTGAATGTTTTATTGGCGCGAATGTTTTATTTCTGAATTATTTGAACAATGTAGACATAACATAGAAGAGAAATGAAACAATTAATTTTATTTTTATAATTTAGTTTTAATTTAGTGTTGTCATTTTTTTATAGGTAAATCAAATATGCATGATAACAGTAGTTGCCATTATGATCGATATGAATTTGATGAAAAATGAGTCATAATTTGATGAAACATGATTTTTAGCTGTAGTTGTATTACTAGAATTTTGACTGCCACCACCACTACCATTAGTTGAAGATTGAATACGACTCATAGTCACTGTACATGAACCTCCGGATGGTGTGTTCTAAAAGTTTAGTATAACTCGTTTATGAAACAACAATAGAAGTTTATTAAGAAGTTATTGAAAATTCTCTTAGCATACTTATACTCATTTTTTGGTTAATCAAGCAAAAGAAAAATAATGTTTTAATGATAAAAATTCATCTAATGAACAATAAAGAAACATATTAATAGAAGATATTTGATGTAAATAGAAGAATTTTTTGTCTGCTTCAATATTTTTTAAAATAATTTTTAGTCTTTAATTCAATCTCGGAAATATTTTAGTTCAATAAAATCCAAGAAAACCAATTGATTGTTTTTTTATCATAAAACTCATATAAAATTAACTCAAATAAAAAATAAAATGAAATAAAATATTCGTAATATCAATACCTGATCCAATAATACATCCAAGGTATTATCACCTCTTGGTGTAAAAGTACCCAACGATGCAACAGCATTTGCAGTATTTCCACCCGTGACTGTAAAATTTTTCCGACCCGAACCTGCTGTACAATCGCTACCACCTATTTGCAAAGCCCCGTGAAGCACATTAAGACGCTTTTGAATAAGTAAGTCACCTGCAGGACAGCAGCATGCCGTCGTATTACAAGCACCCTGAATGTTAAACTGACCATCCCAGGTGAAGGTTCCTATATATTTTGTAGATTGATGAATATTATATTCATATTATATAGCTTACGTATTGGTACGATAACCATCAATATGAAGTAAACGATAAGAATAATTGACATTATTTGTTAAATAGAATCAATGCCAAATAATTGTCGATATGTTGTTAAGACCAGTTGTGAATGTGACGATTGAATGAATGATTTAATTTTGTGTTTTGAGCACGCGCTCTTTACTTCGACATTGAATAGAATGCTTTTTATTCTAATGAATTTTGTTTTCCCAAAGAAAAAAAGTAATTTAGAAAAAAAAGCGCCTGTTGCTTTGTATGTTTTTTGTTTCAGATGAGTTCTCATTATTTCAATCAATACAAATAAAATTACAATCTTGTTTTCTTTTAGAAGAAAATTTATATTAAAATAAATGTCCATAGAATTTTTCGTTCGAGATTTATTAGTATTCGAGTTTTTCGATCGAAATAACAAAATCAAAAAACAAAAAGAACAATATTTATAATGAGAATTTTACACAGAATTGATGTTTCCTGTATTGAATTTTTGTTTTTCTATGGAGTATAAAATGGTTGAAAGGAAAAATATTGAAAAAAGTAATGTCTCCAGTAAATGACAACTGTAAGCACCTATAGTTCGTTGTTGTTTTCCTTATATTTCTACTGGTCTGGATTTGTAATCAATGGTAATGGTGATAAGTAACATCTGACATAGATTAATTAAAAGAGTCGGACAAAGAACTATTAGACAACTATAATTATACTGTCATGACTACCAGCTGCTTCATTTTCACTAGATTTCAGTAACCTAAAATTGCTAGTTATTTCATTCCAATTCAACGTCGTCGTATGAACAATTTTGGTGAACGATATTATGATGGTATTATAATCGCGATAGAATACTTACGAGGGAACACATATTCAAATGTCAAATCGTTTTTGAGTCAGAACTATGTGCGTCATATAGATCCTAATCAGCTATGAATACTCAATAAAGTTCAGGCTAATGGTTTATCACTGTCAATGCATTGCATTTTTAAGGTAGGTTTTAGTACAATGTCTTGTTCTCACTTAGTAACAACAAGAAAACTAAGTTTCGAATTTCAAATGAAAACTTTACACAGAGACAGCTCTTAATGAAAATAGTTTATTATGAAAGTTTTAGAATTTTTGATTGTTTCTATTCTGAAATAAGAACATCAGGATTTATCAGTGTATATGAGTGGAGTTAAAAAACATGTTTCTACCATAGTCGTATATAAGGATAGGAAAAACAAAATGACTTTTATAATAAACTTTTCTTGTTAACACTTGTCTCTATGGAAAGTTTCAATTTGAGACTCAAAACTTAGTTTTCTTGGTGTTCCTGAAGAAGACCATGACATTGTAATAAAAAATATCGTAGAAATGCAATGTAGTGACAGTGATAAACGAATAGCATGAAATTTGTTCAGAATATTCGTAGCTCATTAGAATCTACATAATGCAAATAGTCTTGACTCGAAAACAATTTAACATTTGAATATGTTTCCTCGTTAGATGATTTCTCATTTACAGTTGCTAAACGAAAAAATGACACTCTAAAGTTTTTCTTCTTTTTATATCTTGACTGATGTTTGACCTTTGTCATAATATTAGTATTATTCCATACAATAAAGCATGTGTCTCACTAGTAAGAATTTTCTAAGGCACTTTTCGACTATTTTCCACATCAATAGTTTTCTTTCGATAGTTTTGTGGTCAACCAATTGTTTTGTCTATCATCGTATGAAATTGAAGATGATTAACTAGAAGCAAAAAAAACAATAACTATATTGTCGGATACAAACATTGAAATAGAATCTCCTATTAAAAACAAAAACTAATATTCTTATGTTTGATATTTCTATTTTTATTAGATCTTTTGAAATGTCGTATAAGTAAAAACAACAATTAAATTCGGTATGATATATTAAGATTTTTCAGTTATAGTTCTTAAATATAATAACAGATTTACATAATGAGATGACATTACTAAAAATTTAATTTCTATATTCATTTTTGTCCTTTATCAATATCATAGGACTCAAGATTATATATGTAAATATTCAAACGATCATCAATGTTATAACTGATGACAGCAGTACATGATGGTTAACCTATTCCGTCTGTTATCGATTTTCTTCTTTCTTTTCTTTCTGCTATATTTGTTATCCGTCCTGTATGAGTATACGTATACCGAGATGCAAGGCCAATACTGACTCTATCCTTTCTGAAAAGAAAAGAGCAAGAATATTTCTTAGTTACTCTGCTGGATCATAACGATTTGTTTTTGCAAAGAGAGAGAACGAAGAAAATCAAGCATTTAATTCATTTTCTTATCCATATATATATATATAATGACAACTTCAGCATTGATACCAATTAGTCATAATAAAAATTATTTTTTACAATCATCAAAATCATCATCAAATCGTTATTCAATACATGATCATGGTCATGGTTATCGAACATATTCATATGAATTTGATTTGAATAATTATGAACCTGAACAAATAACTGTTTTACTTGATAATAATGGTAAATTACATATACATGCACATCGTTCACTATGCCATGAATTTCGACGTGAATATAATCTTGGTGGGCCAAATATTGAAGCGAGACTTGTACGAAATACAATTGATACATATGGACGTCTTCGTATTGATGTAGATGTTCAACCTCGTCCATACGATATACCATTAATGCATAATAATATTCTAACATTTGATTTACATGGTTATCGACCTAAAAATGTAGCTATTAGAATAAATGAAGATGGTTTATTAAAAATAAATGCACAACATTATGATAATACAAGTGAACATTGTATTAGTAGAGAATATTATCGTCAATATCAGTTACCAAAACATATTAATCCTCATCAAATACATGCAAAATTAGATGAAAATCAAATCTTAACTATTGAATTACTACAATCATTATCAAGAAGAAGTCCACCATGGGAACCTTATTATAATAAAAATGATTCACAAGCTTATAGGAAAGGACCATATGGAAACTCCTGTTGTTGTTGTAATCTTATGTAATAGAAAAACAATATTTTAGTTGCTTAAAAATATTTTTTTTTATAGTATATTGGGAATTTTGTTAATAAAATACAGAAAAATATTAATATATATGTATTAATTACAATTTTTTTTATATAGAAATATCAAATAAGCAACTATAAATATTCGTCTAGTATTTTCAATAAGATAAGATCAAACATATATCTAGCAATGAAGAGATTCCACGATGGATAAAAAAAAACGTCCTTCACATATATAATCACTTATATAAGAGTATCAAAAATATTTTTTAATTATTATAGAAGTTATTAATCATGTTTGGTTGAAGAAAATAAAAGTTATTTTATTTTCAAATTTGCTCGTCAGAATCTCGTAAATTTATCAGCATGTTTTTAATAATAAAATTGTTCTTGAGAATTTATAGCATCTGTTACTTTGATTTCAATTTTTTAATATTCTCAAGATAGTACAAAACTCAATGGTTAGAGCACGATCAATTTTAATTAAATTAGGACTAGAAATCAATTGAATAATGTGTACATCTGTATTCTAATATGTATAATGATGTTAAAATCATGAATTGATTAACTAATCGTTATTTAAATATCTCTGATTAATATTCATCAAAATATATTGAGACCTACATTATAAAAAAAAAAGTCCATTTATAACGATTAGTCAACATTAATTTTCTGTTTTTTTTAGATAACAATTGCATTTTTTACCAGAAATCGAACAAAATCATATGAATTTAGAATGCTTAATTTATACTATTCGAAATAAGATCATATGTTTTTAATAAAAACTTTCTATAAATAGCTAAAAAGATAAATTAGCGTATATATATATAATAATAGAACTCAAGTTTCTTATCAGTCAAACGGTATTTTATGTATATCTATCAATCATAGCTTAAAATTATAGAGTGATATCATTAATTACAAAAAAAAACGGTGCATAAAAAAAACAGTATGACAGTTTATGATACGAAAAACGATATCAGTATATGCAACTTCTTTAATCAAATCTCTATTCATAAAAATTCAAATAAAAAACTTGGCAAATATTCATTTCTATTTCTTTTTCTTATGTATTCAACTGTCAAAAAAAAATCCACTTTTCAATAGATGTCATTCTATAACAGAGACGCTAAAACAAGAAATGATACATTTGATCGATTGGCAGTGGATAAATTTGTTGTATTCTGATTAGTCAAATGTTCTCTATACACAAAGACCAATTCCCCAAAAATGAAATTATTATTTTCATCCGATAACATAAATACCTTAATCACCTATGGTTTGACAGACTAATGTATATTCAACCAACACCTTATTCAGTTTCATCGACATCAGCGAATACTGCTCAAGGAATGCATACACCATTATCAACAACGTCAAATAATAATACAATACGCTTATCACAAGAACATCGTGCACGTCTTTATCAAATAGTAAATGAATTAACTGATGATCAATTACGTTTATTTCTTACAAATCATATACAATCTATATCAAATACAACATTAAATAGTCAATTTCAACATTATTCACGTACGCAATTAATGCAACAAACATATATTCTTATCGATAATTATTATTCAGTCGATCTTGAACAAACACTTTATGCAATGAGACAAAAACGTTTTCAATCTGATTATCAACAACAACAACAACAACAACAACAACAACAGCAACAACAAATATATCGACCACCATCATCGACACAGCAACAACAGCAAACTTATGCTACATCATATAATTCACAACCATTTTATTATACTCAACAAACAATACCATATAGTGTTCCTTCGAATTATCGTCTTCCAACACAATCAAATGTTTCACCTCAATTAAGACCAAGTAAAATATTTTATTTTTCTATAAAGTTATTTTATGATTATCATGAAAACAATATTATCTATTGCAAATATTTGTAACAAATGCGAACGTCAAAATATTTAATTCTTAATAGAATTGCTTTTGAATATCGATTAGGAATGTTTAGAGAAACTTACTATTAATTTGGGTCATAAGATTTCGATATACTAAAAGATATTTTCTTAATGTCCATTAACAATGTAATTCATTTCTACAATATGCATTTAATTCAAGTTTTAGTTTTTGATATTTCGTTTGAAAAACAAAAACCTAATGTTCACATATAATTTTTGATTTTGCTAAAAATAATCAGAATAATTGTTGATGTTCATAAAATTAATTTATAAATTTTCATTATGAAGAAGAGCAAATCAAATAATTGATAACTGAATAAATAAAACTATTCGTTAATTATTGTTCTTAAAATAATCGAAATAACATAGTTTCGATCAATTCGAAAGAAATTATAATTAAAAAAAATTATTTTCTTTTATCATCTATTTAACCTTAGCATGAATAACGAGATTTTCAGTAAAATCTCTAACAATATATCTTAATCCTTACTGTGAAACAAACGAAACATGATGATAATGGCAGCGATAAATAACAAAAAAAAATAATACAATTAATAATGGAATTTTAAGATATATCTCGATTTACATACAACTCATGCTTTGTTTCATTATACCTACAAATATGAATAATGAGATTAATCGATTCATATCCAATGGGTAATTTATTTTGCTATTGCTTTCTCATGCCAAAAGCTAGCAATTAAAACAACATTGCTTATCAATGCTATTTATTATGTAATTCGTTTTTTTCATTATCGAATTAAATTAATTTAATTTAGCATAAGGGAAGAAAATAAATTCCATCAAATTGACAAACAATAACCAGATATATCTATACATCTCAAATTGTTTTTTTGTTTTAGTACGACCTAGTCCTAATACCGGTCAACCTACAAATGTTTATAATCAACGTTCTCAAAATCCTCGTCCTCAACAGCAACAGCAACAACAACAACAACAACAACAACAACAATCTCCATATTTTCCTTCGATTTTATCTCGTCAACAATATATTCAACAACCACCAACATCTACAACAACAACAACAATAACTAATGGTTTATCATCATCATCATCAGCAGCAGCTATTTCTCGATATCAAGTTCCAATTTTACCTCCACCACCGTCCAATATGACCCGACCAATTCTTCCGACTTCGTCATCAATATTAAATATAACTCATAAAACTTTACCATTTTATTGTCCATTAACATGTGTTTATGAATGTTATCATGTATTCCGTTACGATACATATCGTAAACAATATTTTTCTCGAAATGATTTTGTTTTATCACTTGATGTGTGTAATCAATTAGCATTATCATATGATTATGATTCTGATCTTGATATTCATAAAACAACAAAATGTTTAATTATGCGCCTTGTACGTATTGATCAACCACCTATGTCAAATGGTAAATATGATGATAATCTACCACCAAATATAGTTATACATATAAATTCACAAAATGTAACTAATTTACCAACACCAAAACCATGTACAAGACAACAAACTGATTTAATTCGTATTGGACGTGAAATTGATATAACATCATATTGTATGTTTAATCCAATATTAAATAATGAATTAACAATGACATGGTCATATCGTCAAGATAATACAAATTTAAATATTCAATATGTTAATGCACAATATGCATTACATATATTTCTTGTACAACATTTAAATATTGAAGATTTATGTGAACAAATAAAAAATAAATCGGCAAAATTTTATCGTGAAGATTTAGTTAAATTATTAGCTAAAGCAATTGCAACTGATCGTGATCTTGGTTTAGAAGTTAGTGATCAAAAATTAAAATTAAAATGTCCTATTGATCAAAGACGATTAAAAACCCCAATACGAGCTGTAACTTGTCAACATTTACAATGTTTTGATTTAAAAAATTATATCGGTATTGAAATTTTCTTTCATACTTTTTAGATATACTAATCGTCAACAATCTCACTACTACATTAAAAGTATTTTAATTAGAATCGTTTCGTTTGATATTTTATTTCGAAACTAAGCATAGTATATCTCGATCGTAAGTGTCAAGTCGAGGTCGGTCTGACTTAGAAAAGAAAACATTCTTTTGTCCTCGGACCTAGAGAAAAGCTTTTTAGGTACTTTTCTGATGCGTCATTATTTTGAAGCGTTAATATTCGTCCTTTTATTGACAAATAAAGCTCTACATGTTTTTTCTATGTGATAGATAGATTACTGTAATCTGCTGTGCTTGTAAGGCGTAGTGGCAGTCCCATCATCTGGAACGATTTTCGCATAGATCTCTGCTTCATAAGTGGCTATAAAATCATGAAATTTTCAGATAATACTTGATTACAGCAGATAACTCACTGGAGAAAATTTCAAGGGAAATAATCGGAAATTTTCTTTTTTTTTTTGACAAATTCTATCAACTCTTCTGCCAAGAACATGCAAATATAACTTCATAAATTATGAATCGCTTGGCATGAAACTTTTATCGATGATAAAAGCAACACTAATCTCTCGAATGAGGTATAGTGTGCGATTTCTATCGAGTGCGCCGAAGTGACTTATCTTCTGTAAAAGAAATGAATTTTTGTTCATGAAAATATTTACTTCTTGTTCTCAAAAATAAGATTAATGAAGAAAATACCATTGGCAATGGAAATCTCTAAGCAGGACATTAACCTTAAATTTCTGTGATAAAACTTTTTATTTTAAAAATTGTTAAATAGTATATTAGTTGATGCAATTTTCACATCGATTTCAAATATATCTTTATTTATTTTTTAAAGTGCTTTTGTGACAAAAATAAATCACAAAAAAAACTTTAAAAATCAAGGTTTTTTTTAGCAAACCTGTATCTTCGCCCAGAATTGTTAACGTTAATTAAGTGCATGTTCCAGATATAGAAGAACATACTCTAAGAGTTTTGTCAATATCGAGTTAGTAGAAAAAAGTAGTAGCCAACTTTACTGAACACATCTTTTCGGGAAACATTTACGAGGGAAAGTTCTGGGATGATTAACAGCTTTAGAATCCATATTTTGTTTAGTGGTAGGGCACCTATGGATTAGAACACGCGCCAAAGAGTTCGTGCTCTCGTTAAGACTTCGTCGAACTGGTCACTTTTTAGTGAATTTTCTCTACAAGAACCCAACTTTTCGATAAAATCCTATTGTCGAGTTTTGATCTGAAAAACTTTACCTAGATGAAAGTCTTAATGAGATTAGCATATCCACACGACTTTAGAAGTTTTCGATTGAGTGTCTCTAAGATATAAAAATTCCAAAATATGCATGTTTTACATGATAATTTGTATTCCTTCATTATTCGTATTTTATACTTTTTCTGTAAAGAAAAAAACAGCATTTCCATTTTATTTCTTTTAGCTTTAAATGAAAAAGCTGGTAAATGGATATGTCCCGTATGTAATAAATCCGCTTTATTTGATGATTTACAAATTGATTCATATACTGAATCAATATTAAATTCAATGGAAAATGAAAATGTAACTGAAATCACAATTGACAGTAATTTAAATTGGGCACCTGTAACATCATCATCTTTAATTATTGAACAACAACAACAACAAATAACATCAAATATTGATGATATTATATTAGATGATGATCTAATTGATGAAAAACAACAAGAATTTGATTCAAAATTACATATTCCATTAATATCATCATCAACAAATGGATCAACTAATGTAATACTTATAGATGATGATTAACAAAATTTTCTGTGTTTGTTTTTCCTTTTGTATGATAGCAAAACAAAACAAAAAAAAAAAGAAAATCAAATTGTTGTATATCTCTTTAATAAAGAAAAGCGAATGATTTGTCTTGTTTTCAGATAATGAATAATTTAACAGATGAACAACGTTATTTACAATTACAAACATTAACTATTAATGATCTACAAACATTATTAACATTTGCTGGACAATCACGAACTGGCAAACGACAAGAATTAATTGATCGTTGTCATACTTTAATGAAATCATCAACTATAGTAAGAGAAAAATGTGAAGAATTGCATAACAAACGTTTTGGACAAGGTGAAAAACCAACAATACCATATCCAAGAGATTCGACAAACACATTAAGAACTACACATCATTTACATTCAAATCAACAGCAAAATATTGAAATACGTCTTGCACCATTTACATTTAATGAAGACTTATGTGTTATATCACCACCACATGCTATTGCACCATCCAAACAATCAGCAAATGGAACGCAATCTTTGGCTAATTTTTATTTTTTATTAACAGCACAACAAGCATCAGGTATGAAAAACAATGAATTTATACATAAATAGACTTGATTAAATAGTAATTAATACAGATTGCTTTCTTATATAAATCAAATTGAAAAGCGCGATGTTTTATCTATGGGCATTCTTTGCCAAATTTTTTAATTGTACGAGTATTTTTCATGCGTGTGAAAGTAATAGTGGATCATTTTTGGTCACTATGAAATGTTAGAAGACTGTAAATCTTTTTAACACTGAACTTAATAATAACTAGAATTTATCACACCTTCGAATGTTTTTTCTTCGATATCATTTCCATTCGAATATAAACTGTTCGTCTTCATAATTTTCATATGAAGCTGAGTGTACACTATTTAGTAGTACGATAAATACTTGTATTTTATAAAAAAAAAATCATGGTGAAATTTCAATAAAATTTTAAGCTTATCGTCCGTGAACTCCTTAAAATTTCAACATTAAAAAGTTTAGTAAAATCTAGTTATCATTAAGTTCACTCTTAAAAAGATTTACAATCTCCTATGTTTTTTTCTAGTGACTAAAAAGCATTTGCCATTACTTTCACATGCATGAGAAATACTCGAGTAAATAAAAACTTATCAAGGAACGCCTATGGGCACAAATTCTTTAGAGGCTTTTCATATATCTCATCGAGACACACTTATGGGTACAATATCAGTTCAAAAGGACACGGAAGCCTGAGAATGTTGCTTCATGAGTAATGTAAACTCATTGATAACAAACATTGATTACTAGTTCTTCTGCTCAAATCAAAGAGATTTGAATAATTGACAGTAACATCATTAGTTGCTATACATCGGTTACATATCCTAGATGATCAGCTTTGAATCAAAATGTATCATAGCGAGTCAAAAAGATTAATCTATGTTTGTTAACATTGTTCATCACTTAATGCTTAAAACTTCATACCATCAGTCTCGCAACGATAAAGAGTTACCTCATTTTTAAGTATATCATATTAATCAGACCTATCGAGAACGCGTAAATACATCCAAATATATTCTATGGAATTTTAAAAAACTAAAGCTAGTTATTTTCTTGTTTTTTTTTTTGACTCGTACCTGATGACTATTTAATGTTTTTCTTAATAAAATATAGATGTAGCAACATCAACATTTTTTAATACTGATCAATCGAAAATTGAATATCGAAAACAAATCTTATTAAGATTTACAACCATTGGCGGTGATTCAAACCATAATGGTACTAATGCTCCTGATAAATTACCACCAAATCTTCATGTGCTTGTTAATAGTCGAGCAGTTCTATTACCACAACCAAAACCAACAGCAAAACCAAATTCAGATGTTATTCGACCAGGTATTTTTTTTTCTATTTTCAATTATTTAGTATTTGCTATTTTATTATTCTAATTTAGGTCGACCAATTGATATAACAGAGTATTGTCGTCTATGTCCATTAATATCAAATTTAATTGAAATATCTTGGTTTACTCAGGATTTATCAGCTCCACCTCCAACATATGTTGCTGCCGTTTTTCTAACTGAACGTAAAACAGTTCCACAATTATTAGCTCGTCTTTCTCGTACATCAGCCATTCGACCATCAATCGAAACTCAACGTACAATAACACAAATTTTATCAGCTTCACAAACTCCACAAGGAACTGATAATGATCTTGAAGTCGCATCAACATCACTTCGTTTACCACTTGATTGTCCAGCTATGCGTATACGTATGCGACTACCTGGAAGAGCAATTACCTGTAAACACGTTCATTGTTTTGATTTAGAAGGTTATTTACGTATGAATGAAAAAAAACCAAGTAAAGTTTATATAAATAATAATCAATTTTTTTATTTATAATTTCTTTTCTTCTTTTATTTAAGCTTGGCTTTGTCCTGTATGTAATAAACAAGCATTATATACAGATCTATTTGTTGATCAATTTTTTATTGACATTATTGGTAAATGTTCATCAGATGCTAAAGCTATTGAATATGAAACCAATGGACAATGGAAAGCTGTTGGAGAAGAAAAATTATCTCGACGAGCACAACGAGAAAGAGATGCGTATAAAGCAGCACAAGCAGCAAAAAATACAAATGGAAAATCAATTGTAGATAATGATCATTCAGGTGACGATGATTCAAGTGATGAACGAGCAGTTACAAGTAAGTCACATGAAAAAAGACATTAAATAACAATTTCTTGTTTTTATTTTAATAGAATCAACTGAACGTCCAGCTGTAACCAATGCCCAAGATGACATTCCTATTATTGAACTAGATGATGATTAATAATTGTATTCTTTTTTTCTTTTTCTTTTTTTATATTTTTTTTCTCTTGTGCGCTCTGTGTGAATGTACAGTTGAAACAATAAATTATGCACACATAAATACGTATAGAAAAAAAAGAGAACATATATTTTGTTTTAATTAGCTAAAGGACGTAATGGAATAGAATTTCGATTGTTTGGAGTTTTAATTGTTGTTCGAAAACGTATACGAGATTTGCTGTAACATATCAATAAACCACCGACAACACTAAGTAATCCAATAGCTGCTAAACCACCGGCAATACTACCAACAATAATCCACGTAGGATTAGATGATGCTATGAAAGACAAGAATAGATTGAATAAACGATTATATTATAGAAGATTCTCACGTGTGCGTCTTGTATATACCATTGTTGTAGTGGTTGTTGTTGTCGTTGTCGTTGTTGTTGTTATTACTGTTGTTGTCGTTGTCGTTGTTGTTATTACTGTTGTTGTCATTACTGTTGTTGCTACTTTTAAAAAGAGAAGAAAATTGATGAAAGTTTTTCCAAACAAGGCCTCATTAAATTAAATTCAAAATTATTTACTGCCCGTTATCCGCGTCGTTTCATCAGGTGTAGATACAATGGCTGATGTTTTTACTGTAAGTTTGAAAAAAGAATGAGAAAATATTTTATTTGGAATGAATATTTTGAAAAGAATTACTAAAGGACGCTGTTGCATTAGTTAGATTTATAGCTGGGCTGGATTCTTCTTCAATTGAACTTTGGTCCGTAGTAACTGAAATAATTGGTCTCAATATTCATTATATTCGTAGCATCGTTTAATACTATTTGCTTACCATCACCAGCCTTAAAAAAAAATTCATATCTTAGAAAAACAGAAAAAGATTAGATTTTATCTTCTCATATTGATAGTTTATTGTTGTAAGTTCATTTGGAATCAAACTTTTAACAATAAAAGATTCTTATGATAAAAGCTACCGTTCGAGATCTTTAATCATAGCATTATTAGGGCATCAAACAGAACGTTGAGGATGAAATTTACAAGTTTTTGAATCATCATTGTTTATATACATTCTTACTAGGTACTACAAGCAGATGCATCCAAAGATTGCCCTTTATCAACACTAATTTCTCAGATTTTTCGAAGCACGAATCAGCTACAAGCACTATATTCAAACAAAAGATTATCCTCAGTTACATAGTTAAAACAAGCATCAAGTTTAAAATCTCATTTTTTTGGAATAAACACATCACTGAATCTGATGATCTTATTTCATGAAAAACAAACTTTCTAAATAGTTCTTTTTTTTTATAGCAAAACCTCTTTTTCTTTTAGTTATGCCTACAATTTCCAAGCCTCATTAGTCAACTGACAGTTTTCTTTTTTAATGTACTTACAATTGTACTGTTATCTTGTGCATGTATAATGATACATCCCACTAAAACAAACAACATTATAAATAAACAATGTTAACAATATATTCAATTTAAACATATACTAAACAGGATCCATTGCAAATAGAAGATTTTCATCGATTCGGCTACCTGACAAATATTTTCATACGACAAATGGCCCCCGTTTGCATTCTGTGTGAGCAGTGTGATGATAAAAGATAACAGAAAAAAAATGTGTTGCATAACGACAGATATGATAATAGTTCGTCAAAGCAAACACAAACATCTATCTTCACTTTGAAACATTAATATTAGCTGGTACTTTGGATGATCTTTTTTCTTTTTCATATTTAAATACATTACAATCCTAAACTATTGATATTATCATTTTCAAAATTTATCAGTGACCAACGATTCTATTGTGTATTATTTAGATCAATCATTTTAATATAACTTTAATCAATAAATCATTTGGAAGAACTCTATTTACTATGGCAAATAGAGTGTCTGTGAATAGATCCTATTTAAAAATATATTCGACATTTTCTTTTGTAGGTTAAATACTACGTAGCGCTTTTTATAAAAAAAGAGATAACTATATCGGAACAACAGAATACGAAAATATTCGTTTACCTTCACCATTCTTTTATCTTAATTTTATGATGGTTCGATGTAAAAAAAAAATCTGACGCCTACTACTTTCCAGAAGATGGCTATCTTTAAACGACAGAAAAATTTAAAAAAATAAACGTTATTTGTTCAGATTTTTCACTTTTTCAAAAAAAAATTCAATAGATCTTACTATTGAATAGTTTGCTACGATTGAAGATACTTAAAATTTGTTTTTAAGTAGAAAACTAGCGCTTTATTTAAAAAAAATCTATTAAATGGTTTACTTATAACTATTTAGCCAGTTATTCCAAGTGAACTTCAGCATTTACTAATGAACTTTTCGCTAAGTTTTTCAGCATGGGATGTTTTTTTCGATTATATAATCAAATGATGTAGACATATGCTATAATTAAAATGTTTTTTTTTACTCGTGGTTAAACATTTCCATCAGAATTAATTCTAATCTAACTTCGTAAAAATCTGTGAACCTAATAATTTTCATTTCAAAAACACAAAGAACTTCTAGTTCATATGATGCGTACAACCGAGAAATATGTTTCTTTTCTAATGATTTACAATTTGCTAATTGTATTTTACATCTTTTTTGAATCAATTTTGCTTGTTCGTCTGCATTGAAATTTTTTATTAAGAAGAAATAAAATCTTTTTTTAGTATAAGTTGGTCGACTAATTTCCCTTGACTCCTATTAACTCTATCTAAAGTATTGCTTGTTTCGAAAATAATGCACTTTCTTAAATAATCGATTATATAAATAGATATAACAATAATCTACCAATCTATCAATGATATTATCAGACAAGAGTTTCATAATTGCATGATCATTTATAAGATAACAGTTAACTAGAAATCAGATAATGTTATTGTTTATCAAAATTTTTCAATAAAGCATAACATAGATATGAGTAGGCATAGAATTCAAGTCTTTCAAATTATTAACTCTCATGTAAAGAAAAATTCAAATTAAAGAAAAACAAGAACCTAGAGAGTTTAATAAATTCGATTGCATTAAAATTATTTGTTTTTAGTTGTAAGATCACATAAATAACTAATACAATAATTGATTAACTTATGCACATATAATGATGATAGCCAGATTAGATGAATACCACTTTTATTATTATTATATATTAAATAAATGAAATATTTTGTTCATGACTCTGGAAGGATCTATTACAATTAATGAGCTTTGATAAATGACAGTTGTTTCTTATAAGACATTCTTCATCTACATACACAAACATATCTATCATCAACATGTGTGAAAGCCATTAAGATTAACATTCAGCAAACATACGACGCCATCGAGACCAATGGTTATAATTCGATCATGATCGATGATTACATGTAAATCACATTGATGATAAAATCTTTGCCCTATTCATAAGATTGCTGCTCTTTTTTTTTTGTTCGTGTCATTTCCTTGTCTAAGACAAGGAAACACGTAATATCTCTTGTCCTTGGCACCTTTTTCAACTTGAACATTGTACTTGATGGTAGACCAAAAAGAAAAGAAAAGAACAAAAGTTGTTCGTCTCTTTTTTTCCTTTCTTTTTCATCTTTTCTTAGCTTATAGTTCGATCGCAGATAAAAATTTGTCCTGCTGCTCTTATTGCTTGACAAAGCAATCTCGTTTTTTTTCTTTCTCTTGCTTTTTCTTACAGACGTTCATGTTCAGTCACTCCTTAAACTAAATGACTATTCTCTCTTCTCTTCCTCTCTCTCACTTGCGCACACAGGCATACACTCTTCTCTTTTATCGTATTCATGTAGAAAAGAAATATAGACATATAGAGAAAAAAAAAGACGACGAAGAAAAAAAAAGTTCATTAAATAAGACTAAGCACAGAAATAACGACAAGGATTGCTGTTGTGTTTCTTTCATCTTCAGTTTGACTCATACAGAAGATGACATCACACAAATCTTCCTATCTAGTTATTGCCCAAGCTGAAACATTACTTATTTATGGAATATTTTTATTTTTAACTGGTTTAGTACAAATTGGAGTGACGATTGGCTATCGCTTTATTATTGAAAAAAATAATAACCATAATGATAATATAAATTTTGCTCATTTTTTTCCGACGTCATTTACGATGGCTGATATTCATATTTGGTATGTTTATCCATCGGCTGTATTGGTAAGTTTTTTTTGTAACAAAGAAGAAAAAAACGTGATAATCAATGAATCAATATGCGTACAAAGAGCATATCAAAATGTCATATGTGACAATAGTTGAATAATATTGAACATAAATCCTCTTTATCCTTTTCGTTTTACATCAAATCAAACGATTTCTTTCTTCTCTAAATAAAACCAACTGAACTTTCTTTTTCTAATCGATTAAATTATTTGTTAATATCAAGATTAAAGTGTGTATTTTAATTATTGTATTCAAAAATTCATAGAAAATGAGTCTATACTTACTCTATTTTAATATTAACAGTAATAATTTCCTTTCTTTTTGTTTCTTGGTGCGACAAAAAAAGAATTTTTCTATTTAATAGATTAATATATGATATATGTATATATTATAAAATTTATTCTCACATGTTCGGAGGTTATTTTCTTTCAATTAAATCAATAATGTACATTATTTTCTTTTCATGTCTCATTCAAATTTCCATCTACTTAAATATGTAATAAATTCTTTTTTTAGACAATCATTCCATGTCTTTGTTGTGTCATCTTTGCCATATTCAAACGACGTGCTATGGTAAAATCAAATAGAAAAAAAATATATATTTTAAATATCATATCATATTTAGGCTATTTTTATTTGTATGTCTTCTTTTATAAGTTTTATTTCATCCTCAATTTATATTGGTCTTCTTATTATTCATACACTTGAATATTGGCAAACAATTGAATCTCATCGTTTTCAATCTATTCTATCAACTACGGCATCAACATATACATCAACAATGTAAATTTTTCTCCTATTTACTCAACATTTCTCTCTATCGTTTTTAATTTTCATATAGACGTCTTTTTATGCCGTTTGATGAACCAGCAAGTTTTGCTAATTTAGCATTACTTATCACGTTTACATTAGCACTTGTTCAAGCTTTGTTATCAATGATTGGTGCAGTAATTTCTTGTCTTTGGTCACCATGTTGTATGAGTTCATCACGAAATTATACACCAATAACAACTAACTCTCATTATGCTCAAACAACAACACATCGATTCGAAGTATATGCCAATAAAATGATTTTTTTTTCGTTTCATATGTCTTTATTTAGAATCCTCAATTGTCAACACTACGAAGTGTAAAACGCCAGCAACATCCAGAAACTCGTCAATTTATTCCAAGAAATGAATCTCAAGATCCAGTGATTAATGATTTTCTTCATAAAAATCTACCTATTCGTAGTAACTATGATGATGTTTAAATGCGTTGCTTATTTATCTTTGTAAATATATGTTGTCACTGTTTTATATCTGTCTATATATTTTTCTTCTTAAGGAAAAAAAACGCATTCATTTGTCATTCAGTACAATCGGAGAAGTAATAAAATTGTTCAAGAAGTTTTTTTCGGTCAAATAAGTACCAATGAATATTGAATTCACGATTACAAGGAATAGAAGAAAAAAACAAATTTTTATTATTGATTTCTTTGTTATTCAAAAAAAATTTGTGTGACGTAAATTTTGTTTTTTCATTGAAGTGTATTCACATCAAGATAATTTTCTTTTATTTTCATGAAATAATTTATAAATTAAACAAAGAAAAGGAATATAAGCATAGATAAATATAATTAAATTTTTAAATGACATGTTCTACGTTTGAATGAAAAAAAAAACATAACAAATACTATTTTATTATATATTAATAATTCACAAATTACTTTGACGTTTGTTTTTTATCAATAAAACGAAATACTGTTAGTTTTTGAATAAATTGAATATTTGTTCAACTAAATTTTGTACGTCGAAGACGATTAAATATTCATTTATATGCTTTTTTGCTAAACAAAGATATTCATGAATCGTTGAACCGTGAAATTACATATTCTTTTGGTCAAGACCTGGATCGAGCTATTCATAATAGATCAAGTGGGTGGGATCAAGTAAACTAGTTATTAATCAATCGAAATTAACATAAGAAGTTTATCAAGTTGGAAAATGTGTTCTATAATGTTTACTGATCGAACTGAGTTAATTTATAGATTTGATTAATGTACGATATCGAAGCCTATGCTTCTATGATAACACAATTGTGGCAATGTCATGTATGTGCTGATTCAAAAAGATGTCAATTGACTCTACAAAATACACTAATTTGTATACTATATATCAAAAAAAAAGCTTAGATTTTCATTCGAAAAGAAAATTTTTGATCAATTTCAATATAGAATTTTTATCTTTCATTTTCTTAAAGTTTCCGATAATTGCATGACTATCTACTTTCAATATTTAAATCTAGTTGGCTATTTTTTTTTGTTTCCTGATAATAGTGTTTCACGTTTCATTAAAATGATCGTTGATACAATTAAGCAGAGTGTTTTTTTCCGTTAATGAATTTCTTTTAAATGATCTTTATATTAAGTATGATAACAGGTGTAGATATTTACTAAATATTTGCATTATTCTTTCTTTTTTTTGTTCATGGCTAAATCGAAATTTTAATGTTTAAGAAAAAAATTCTCTTTTACAAAATCGGCAAAAACAAATGTTTTCATCTTTTTAGATATATTTATAGTGTTCTGCATATAGCGCACCTTTGCGTTTTTTCATAGATAATAAAGTAAATGTAGATAGAAAACGAGATCATCTTCATATGTATGTCAAGAACCAAACAAGATTTTTCTTTCATATTTATCTATTTATGTATGTCGTTTTGCCTATCAATCTCGTTTGATATCTGTGACTTGAGATCATCGATTTCATAGTTAAATGATGACACTTATGTTTGGTAAGGCGGAAAGAAATCAGTTATACGAACAAGCACGTTCCATGTTTGTCCTCTTGCTTCTTTTTTTTTTTTTACTAATTTATTCTCTAAGAAGTTTTTTTTTTCTTCTTTTTCTAATGCTTGCTTCTTTTTTTTATTAATCGTGACGCATGCAAATAGATATAAAAAGATGGAGTACTTTGCAAGTTTTGGGAAATAATAATTATTATAATAGATAGATAGCAATATTTTTTTTTCTTAGCTTTTCTTTTCAATTTTTGTTATGGTTGCATGTTCATTTAAAAGAAGAAGGATTTTTCATGTCATCCTCATTCTTTCGCAAGTGCTTGAGATCGTATGTGTTTGATGAAAAATATGGAATAGAAATAGGAGGGAAACAGCAATAAACGTCGCTCTTCTCATCATCGTCTAATTTCATTGCAAAGGATATGTAGATACAGACAAACAATGAGACTATTAACAGTAAAATAAGAATAGAAGAAAATAGATATTTATAATTGTATCGATTATCAAATAAATTTGCTATTTCATGTCTATTATTTTTTGATATTCTCTAATCGTAATTTTGTTAGGATTTAATCGTTTATTTTAATAATTACATAGAGAAAAAAACAAGGCATCTTGATTTATTTATACAATTAATGAAAACCTCAATTGTTCTGTTTTCTCGTTCGATATACAATCACTGTTGATTGATCAAGTTAGTCTAACTTAAAGTGTTTCGCTTTCTTTATCTGGGTTTGCTTTTCAATAAACTATAAGAACATGTAGGACTGATTCAGATACATCAAAGAGTATCATAATAGATATAAATGAATAAAGGAATAATAAAAGAAAAGGAATATTTTCATAGCTAGAGAAGATTGTTCTTCCCTATTGTTCACAATGTTATTTTAGCTTAGATCAGTCACTAATGAGAATCCGACCACATTCAGGTAGTTCTAGAATCGTGAGGGAATTCTTCTTGTACTCTTTTATATAAGAAAAATGCATGTATTGAGATAAGAAACATCATAAATTCTTATTTAGTTCTCTTCGTCACTCTATGCAACTTTTCTTCTTTTTTTTCTAAAAATTCTTTCATTAAATTATGATTGATTGGTGCCGATAGATTCATAATAAGTATTGAATTTAATTTATAATTAGATAGTGTACTAGAAACAAGAGATCAACTAGTGATGTTTGGAATATATGTTATTGTGTACTGATTTTTTTGACAAGAATCATCAGACATTTTTGTTTCTCTATGTGCATATTGATATGCCATGGTCTATATCCGATTTCTATGAGAAAAAAAAGAAGCATGCCTGGTTAAAAAATCTTTTATTCAGAACACTTGCCTTTTCTCTTTGTCGCATTTATTTGTCGTGATGTGAAATTATGCACAAACATGCCTAGCATTTATGCATAACAATTAGAGTATAGAAATACTAGATCTTTTTTTCCCTTATATCCGTATGATTGTTTTTTCTGTCTTGTGTTGTTTATGCATCGAATAATCGATGAAAATTATATATGCCTTAAGCTAGTTGTTTCGATTGACAGAGCAACCAGTTGCTTGCCTTTGACTATTCATCAATCTACTCTAAGCTATTACAGATAGGTTAATATATTCTTCGGAAAAGAAAAATAGATCCAGGTACTGATTTTCTGCTTTATATTTATAACGGAGTAATTTTTCTTTCGGATATCAAGTGTCCTAATGGCGCATCTCGTTTTTTCTTTTCCGCTAGTTTTCATTAAATTAGTTGTAACATAAGAACAATTGACATACTATGACATATTTATCTAACTAAATAATATAAGTATTATAACATTTTCATTATGTCATATTTAATATTATCATAACTTATTAATTAATTATTCATTTTTAGACCATCTGGTTCTAATGTTACTAACGCCACAATCAACAGGACCAAGTCGCATTCAAAATTATCGTACATTAGCTTATGTTGTAACAATTCTTGTTTATCTTGTTATTGGTGCAGCAATATTTGATAAACTTGAATCAACAGAAGAATCTATACGTCATGCTAATTTAACAGCACGTATAGCTTTATTTCAACGACAACATAATATAAGTAATCAAGACTTTATTAATTTAACTCGTACTGTTGAATTACGTTTACAATATCGTAAAAAACAATGGAAATTTATTGGTTCATTTTATTATGTAACTGTTGTTTTGGCTTTAATTGGTTATGGTCATGCTATACCAAATACATTGGCTGGACGTGCTGTTACAATAGCATATGCATTAATTGGTATACCGATGTGGCTTATTATGATACAAAGTGTTGGCGAAAGACTTAATTCATTAATAAGATTTGTATTAAAATATATTAAACGAAAATTTCAAAAACGAAGAGAACCGCAAATAACTGCTATGGAATTATTAACATGTGAAGCATTATTAACAGTTTTAACAGTTGCTACTGGATCATATGTTTTTCATCGATGTGAAAATTGGCGTTATTTTGATGCGTTTTATTATTGTTTATTAACATTGTAAGTATTTACTTTGCACAAAAAATTAGATTTAAACAACAAAAATTACGCGTCATTAAATATTTTTATTCTAAACTTATTATGTGCTAAGATTGAACAGAAAAAAAAGAGACGTAAATATATTTCTAAAAATAGTTTTGTTTTCTGATTAGAGACAACTTAATTTGTCTAGTCCATATTATGACAAAATTATGACAAATTGAATAGAATAAGATGAAATATTTAATTCACAGTTTCTCTTTTAATCTGACATAATGAATCGATAGAAAAAAAAAGGAATTTGTCTAGTTCATTCAACTCAAGCTTGTTCAGACGTTGAGCAGTTTTTTGGCAACTGGTGAGCAAAAAAAAAATAATAATACAATGGAACTTCGTTGAAGCTTGGAACACTCTTGTATAAAAAAAATAAATATCAACTATTTTTTACAATTAAACGGAAGAATTCATGTACAAAGACGTCAAGTCAATGACTCTTAATTACATGCAGAACTTATTTTGAAATAAATTTATTAACCCTTTGGTTAACGATAAAAGATACGCATACATAAAATAGAATGGCTTTATACTACGCACATTTTCGTTTCTTAACACATGAGTCTAACGTGGGTCATAAAAAAAGATGATAATGTGGAAAGCTCCTGCTGTTTGGCGTTTGCTTTTACGCAAATATATCGATAAAATATGCATTGTAAATGATTGCATTAGCTCACATGTTGATAAAGCTCATGACGTATATATGCGTTGTTGGTCATCAAAGATTTAACCAATGCTGCACTTTATATACGTAATGGTGTCTAACCGAGAGACGAACTAATTTAGAACAATCAACAGAAAATCTCGGTACGCTTATAATAAGTATAAAACAAAGATCTACAAAGCAACGGGAAAATCATTTTGCTACAGTCCGACGAAAGATCTAGTTACCAATGAGTAAATTGCAAATTTTGCTGTAGATCATTTCAGGAGTACTTGATGATGTATGACCATCGTCATAAACAGTTGAACAAATATCTTGTTTTATATCGAGAACATCAGATGGAGGAAAAAATAACTTTGGTGTACATATGTTACCTATCAAGAACTAAAGTTAAATTGTAAATTACTTCAGCTACTCACAGAACAAGACCTGTGTGCACTGACACTTATAGAAATAAAAATACTAGACTAAGTCGAACACTCATATCTATGTATGTATTCTCGTTTTTTGTCACAATGATAAAACTTAAAAAATAACAACAAGAAAACTGATTGATGTCATTAGAGAATTAATATCTATTCAGCAAAAACTTCATCATAACGAGACGAGACGACTTGCCAAATCTCACACCATTTTGTACTCGCCTTGTCCCATGGCGAGGTAAGGCAGCGTAAAACAGCAGTTTACGGATCTTTCGTATACAAGGGTTACATATTTTTTTGTTCTTCTCGAAATAGACTTGAATATATATGACTGATTGACCCAAAGAAAAGGTTTTGATTTTTACAAAAAAATTTTAGATTCTTCTTTTTGAAATCTCTAATTAATAAGTTCTCATTCAGTGAAAACAATCAAACATTTAACAGAAAATTTTTCTAACTATCAGTGAGAAAAGTTTAGAATGCACATTTCTCTCCTATATATTTAACAAACATGTTGATCTTTTGTTTGTTTATTTGTTTTAAACTATGCTTAATTCATTACATTTCTTCTTTTAGAACAACGATTGGTATGTATCAAATATGATTTGACTTTATTCTTTTACATTATTCTAATTCCATAGGTTTTGGAGATTTAGTTCCAATGCAAAAAAATGATTATGAAAGTGTTGGTTGGTTATATATTTTATTTTGTATAATGTTTATATTAACTGGTTTAACCATAGTTGCATCTAGTGGTAATTTATTAATATTACGTTTTGTTGAAACAAATACAAAACGTTGCCAACATGAACGATATGAAATGGAACAACGACGTCGACAACAAGTTCGTGTTATTGGTGATGTTATATCATCAAATGGTCGTCTTGTGACTTTAGAAGATGATGAAGAAACACCATCATTTCTTACTTCAAATGGTGCTCAACGTATAACAGTAGATAATAGTTCAAGTGCTTTATCTCTTTGTTCATGTCGTGCTCAACCATCATTAACATCGTGTATACCAATATCATGTAAAAAAAAGTTTAAACGTAAACAACAAAATACATCAAACAATTCAAAACAATCATTTGTTAAACCTCCAATAACTAGTACACGAGCATTACGGCAAGAAATTCTTGATTCATTACAAACAAAAAATGATACTGATGATAATCTTGCTTTACAAAGATCTTATCTTCTAATAGATAAAATTCAAAAACGAAGTTCAATATAAGAATAAACAAAAAAGATGTCTTTATGCGTACATATATATATATATATTTTTGTATAATTAAAAAAAACCATTCCAATATAATTTGTTAATCAAAATTTATCAATACAAAATTTTCTTCTCTTTATTTTTATTTATAATAATTAGTCTTTTATGCTTGAAGTATTTTATTTGAAATAGTTACTAATTATTATTTTAGAGTATGCTTGAAAATCTATTTAAAGTCATGCTTCTTTTTTGATAAAATGAAAGGTGCTCGAAGAGAAAATTTAATGAATAAAATTTACAAAAATATTTTGACATCACCAAAAAGAAAAAAGATTATTCTAAAGCTTATTTTTAGGCAAAAATTAAAAGTAATCTAGTAAAAAGATAAATTATAATTAGAATAAAGTAGTCTATATTTGAATGAAAATATTACCCTAGAAAATGTCATCTTATTTTTAAAATAGTTTTTATATACATAAGTAATAGAGCTCGACTTGTCATAACCCGTAGATCTCGATAAATAGTTTTCTGTATGACGGAAAAAGTTGAATAAACATAACATATTGTATCGTGTGGCGAAAATCTTAGTACACGTCAGTTAGATGATATTTCAATTAATATTTAACGAAATCGTACGAAAGATTATGAAAATCTTTTTGTTATACAATGAAATAATTTCTACCATGTTTCATAATTCAATCTCGCAAAGATTTTATTTATAGAATCACAATTATTAAGTATTAAAATGTGTTACTAACATAAGACGTTAATCTCGAATTTTAAATTATTTCATTAATAATTAATAGTTTCTTATTAGAGTGGTATATTTTAAATTAAAAGATTTTAAAAAATTTTTCTTAACAAAAACGAATTTCAGAAGATTATTAAAAAATTCAAATAGTAATTCAGTTGATGCCTGATTTAATTCTATCATGTTTTTGCACTTTACATCAATAAGCTAATACTTACACAGAAACGAAACATTTACATAACAAAAACTTTCACTATTGAATTTTGTTTACCATCTTTCATTCGTTTTAATTAAAAAAAATCTAAATAATAAACAATATTCGCTCTGTTTATTGATCTTTGTGTATTAAATTGTTACTCAGACAAATCTTATTCTCACAAATCAACTGACAACTTAATCTATGATTTGTGTCCTACACAGTTTTTCAAATTATGCTTTGAAAAATTCCTATATTTATGATTCGTGTTCATTTTTCAAAAGTATATATATATAGAAAAGATAACCGCTATTTATTTAAGTATCTTGATCTTAAACACACAAAAATAGAGATTTTTTCCTAAAATAAATTCGGACTTCCTAAACTATTAATACAGTTCATTTATTATTGTTAGTATTCTATAGAAAATATATTAAATTATTCTTTTATTTATTCATGAAATATACTCGTAAGAGAACAAAAAAGAAACATTCTAGTCTTAAAATATAGGATAGTTACGAAGACTTAAACAAGCAAAAATATTGTGACAAGAATAATATAGATAAATTATACATATGACGGACGGAGTTCTCTATGACAAAAAAAGAAAAAACTTTGTTTTTTTAAATTAACATTGTAGTTTCTTTTCAAGACAAAAGTTTTGTTGATAATTGTTTTTGATTATCAATAGATGTTAAATGATCAAATGTAGTTAGAGAGTTTCTCATCATTTGTGTTAATTCTTCAAAATCAGTGTTACTTGTTGAACTTGTTGTCATTGTATTACTTTCAATGCCACTTCCTGATGATGAAAAATCTTCTTCAACACCTTCATCTTCATTTGATAAACGTCGACGATAATTATTATCATGTATCCATCTATTATCATAATATTTACCTATTTCAGTTATTGCACACCGTCTTAATGATTCAGGATCTAGATATATTCAAGTATTTTACATTAAAAAAGAAAATACAATATAATAAAATTTTTGTTACCAAGCATTTTTCTAAATAATCTCATTAAACGACTAGTAAATCTATACCATTGTGATGGTAATTTATAACGACGTTGTAATTGATGATGTCGATGCCATTGTAAATATTCGTTATAATATATATCGGACTCTTGTGCATGTTCCCATGGAAAATTACCTAAATTATGAATATTCTGATTTGTTCTTAATGAAATTAGTGTTTTTTTTTAATTAAACTGACCTGTTAAACAACAAAATAGTAATACACCAAATGCCCACACATCCATAGCTGTTGAGACAAGTATATCATTATTAAGAGCACTGCATACTTCTGGAGGTGAATAAGGTATACTTCCAATTAAACGCCGTACATATGAACTACATTTTCTTGTCATACCAAAATCGATTAATTTAACTTTGTGAAAATCTGCATCAAATATCATAACATTTTCTGGTTTAACATCTCGATGAACCTAGATTTAAATTAATAGAATAATATGCTTATTTTTTGTTTTTTAGTAAAAAACTAAATGAGTATCTTTTTTATTTAATCAGCAATAATCTTCTTTAATTTTGGTAAGAAAATATTAATCTGAAAAATAGTGTCTAGACAAAAGCAATTTAAATTATTCGTTTTGTCTTCGTTTGATTATAAATAGACGACATGGAATAGGATGAAGGATTAAAACAAACTTTTACGAAACATGATATGAAATCAACTTTGCTAATTGATATGTTTTATAAAGCATCTCATCATGTTTAGAGTCAAACAACGTAAATCAACCTTAAATGAACCTACCAATCCTTTTTCATGCATAAATTCAAGTGCTGAAGCAACTTGTTTCATAATTGTTTTTACCGCTTTTTCAGGTAAACCACGTTGTGGTGGTATTGATTCAAATAAATCTCCTAATGGTGCATACTCTTGTACAATAATAAATGCATCTGCTGTTTGATAACATCGATCTTCATATGTACTTATTATTGAACGATGTGGTGACAATAATAATGAATAATTATATTCACGTTGAAAATCACGATATTTTGTTGTTGATTTTGGTAAAATTTTTAATGCACAACGTTGTTGTAAATCACGATCAAACGCTAATAAGACACGTCCATACGTTCCAGAACCAAGTTCACGTATACGACGAAAACGTTCATTTGTATCCGATAATAATGGTAATAAATCGTTTTCCATCTTTTCAATTTAGTTTATTGTCTAAAATTATTTCAATACATTAGTACTTTTTTTTCCTACAAAGAAAATTCATCATATCATGAGTGCAGGACAGATTTCTAAAAATATTCGTGAGTAATTATTTTTTTTATTTACTAGATCGGAAGCGTAGGTAAAAACACTCATTATCCTCCTAATATAATATCAAAAATATAACAGTTGTGTCTATTTTTTTAAAGGAAATTAACTATGAGCAGTATGAAAAGAATGATAAGAAATATCTATTGTAGACTCAAATAGCAGCTTATGGATAAAAACTAACTGTAAAAAGTAATATTGATGTCACCTTATTTTCTTTCCTTATTGACATGACTTATAAGCATAAGCGAAAAAAATGCTCCTGTTTCATTTATTTCTTAATGAATAAGGTAAAACTGACATATGAACATTAATTATATTTTTATAGCTACTTGACGACTAAGATTAAAATTGTTCTGTTCACTAAATTTATTTGGACAAAACACAACATCAATGTAATATGATATGTTACTGAATCTACATTCTTTATATTTACGAACAAAGTATACACACTCATTTTGCTCTCTGCATGATGACGATCAAGTATAAAAAATGGGTCGAGAAAAGGAATGCTTGTAGAACGTTCAAGTGTAGAAGACGAGCAAAACAACCAGAAGAGAGAAAAAAAATGATGGTAGTTTTCTTCTTCTTTTTTTCACGTATTCGTCTTTGTCTAGTTCTGTTGAAGACGCCCAAGTATTACACTCCTACCACATGCACACACGCACACATCCTAGCATTATTCATTCTCTCGGCATGCGTGTTACAGCATTAATTTTTCTCATACTGTCGTCGTTCTTCATTCTGATTTGTTTCTTTCAGCTTCATTCATTTGCTCAAAATAGATGTTGTCGTTCTATAATTGCTAGATCTCTTTACTGATGATTTGAATAAGAAATAAAAATAAAACAAAAAAAAAAGAGAAACATTAATAGTATGAATCTTCTAACTGTAGAATAGATAAAATATTTTGAGTAAAATTTTTTCTTTATGATACATACACATCACAAAACTAAAACAAATTGAATATATTTATATAAAAAAAAATCTTTTTTTTTATTACTATAAATGCATGAGCTATTTCTTTTTGTTAGAAAGTAACATTCTTCTTGTTTTATTCATTAACAAAGCTCAGCAAGGTTCATTTCACTCATACGAAAAGGAAGAAATAAACTGGGAATTTCTGAGCACATCTATACTGAGAAATATATGTAATCAAGAATGCTAAGCTCTATGAATCCGTGGAAAAAATTGATAGACCTCGAATAGTGAATAAGAAATTCTATATTTAGATTGGAGATAAACAACGATATTTGATAGACAAATTTCATTGTGGATAATCATATGAAAAATCTTGAAAACTTTTCAAAAATTTAGTGCTTTCTAGACGACATGCCTTCGATATTGCTATAGTGCTGTCATTGTTTAGCACAGCAGTCTATGAAATAAGCAGACATGGTTAAAGCTCAGAGTGAGCAAAAAAAATAAGTTGAAAATAAAAGAAAAATCATATTCCTTGGGATTTCTTGCCAATGAAAGCAACTGCTCGCTTTTCTAATCTATTATGAACTGCGTATTTTATCACTGCTACTTAGTTGTTTATTAAAGGTAGTTCTAATAGGATCTACTTAGAATGAAACCTGTGACGTGTATCTTATAATAGGCATAGACAAGGAATTAGAGACGAAAGATGAAAAAGACGTATAGAATATCAGATCTCTGCATTTTATGCTCTTATTACTCTTTCTTCAAAATTTAATTATGAATATTAAATACAAAAAGGAAATCTTGTTAGATGAAAAGTTCATGACAGTCTTAGAAACCGAAAAACATATTGAAAAGATTTTGTACACATAATTTCAATAATTTTGACACATAAAAAATCTTCAAAAAAATTCTTATAACAAGTAGTCTTCAACGTATTCCGAACACACCTTAATATTTGAAGTGAAAGAGATGGTACACGTCGATAGCATGCTATTCATCAATCTTAGATAACGTCTGATAAACTCAGTTGACCATATATCTATATATGATGGTTCTGTTTGGTTTTCAGTATTTTATCTTAATAGGAATTTCATTACAAAATAACTGAAAGTCTCTTGGTAGACCTCGTAACTTCTAACTACAATGCGCAAAGTTCGAAACCGGCCCTATTTCAGTAAACACTTCCATGTATTATTCAATTGATTTGTCTTTCGTTCATAAGACAATATCAAGACCAATCTTTTTTATCCTTTTAAGTTACACTTAAATTGGCAAAAAACTCTTTTTCAAGAAATAGCATGCCCGGGTAGCTCAGTCGGTAGAGCGTGTGGCTTTTAACCACAATGTCCAGGGTTCGAGCCCCTGCTCGGGCGGTCCGTATATTTTTTTTCTTTCACAGTAACATAACTTAAAATAATTTTCTTCATTCTCATATTTATTATGTCACCAGTAGACAAATGCTACTAACGTAAGAGCAACAAGTTCGAATAGCTTAATCAGTGGAGCGTTTCCTTATAAGCCACAATATTCAGAATTCGAGTCACTTACTCAAACAGTCACTATCTTTTGGGTGTTGATGTGACCATAGTTTAGAAACTTCCATCGAACTGCTAAAACTAACTCTGATTCTGAGAGATTCGGAATCGATGAGAATCATTAAAATAAATTTTTCAAAGTCAATGCCGGAGTTACATCTATAAAACAATGAAGTGTTTCTCTTACAGATTAACAGTTTTTATTCCTCATACGCTAAATACTGAACGAAGATATAGTTATTTATAGATTCATAAAGAAGTTTAAAGAAAAAACTATCGAAGAGATAGTCTCATTTACATGTAGCACAATAATAAGTATATATGATGTACAAAAACATTTTCGGAGTTTTTCGAAATGGGAGTGAAAATTAAAGCTGTGGAGGTGAACATTTCTCGACTTGAAGTCTGATTTCATGCTAAAAACGTTGACTTCGTAATGCTCTAGTATTGAGTGCGCGTGTGCGATAGTGCATATAGATGCCAATGAAAATTCACAGTCATACCGATATACAACCACATTGCGGGATGGTATTCTAGTATATGTTTTCTTTTAAAACAAAGTTTATATATTAAAATAATGTTACATTTCGAGAGAACGAAAAGGCTTCAATCGAAACGGCTTTCTATTGTTGCCACAGTTGGCACATACTAGTCATTGTGCTAGTCTGGACGAGCGAAAATAAAGAACGAGCACATCTAATTCGATATAGTCCCATATTACTTTGTAGTGTGCGAGTCAGTATTTCAGCTTAGAGTTTGCTCATGTCAGTTTGTGTCCCCCTAGGTTCGTCACTAGTTCCTTGACTGTTTATGTATTTCGTATTTCTCAGAGATCTACAGAATAATATTCTACCAATAAAACACAATTATATGTTGATATATTATATTCTGTGTTCATCTGTCTTATCGTATTTATTGTTTTATGGTTACTTTATTATTGTACTAATTCATTACACGCTCTTACCTATTACTTGTTAATCACTTTTATTAGTAGTTTAAAATTTCATTACTACTATGACTACTCAATGATAAGAAAATTATTATTCATCAATGATAATCAGTAATCAATAATTAAAGGAAATAAGAGTAACTATAAATACATTTAGAAGAAACTACTTCATATATCGTTAATGCACAACCACTAAAATTCTCATATCGTCAATGTAATAAAAACACACCGATTTGTGGCAAAGGGTAACAAGTAATAATAGTTATTACCAATTACCAAGTTGAAGTTATAACAGTAATACGATGTCTCTTCTGATAGACTTCTGCTACGTGTGAAAAAAAAGTAAGCCCGGGTAGCTCAGTCGGTAGAGCGTGTGGCTTTTAACCACAATGTCCAGGGTTCGAGCCCCTGCTCGGGCGTGCATATTTTTTTTTCTCTAATATCAAAATAATTTTCAATTATCTGTAATTGATAGACCAGTGGCTAATCATGANGTGTTCAGAAGCATTACTTTCTTTTCGGCTAGGAGGCTTTTGTTCAAGAGCAGTACTACCTCGTTTGCTTGATAGATGGGATTCATCAGCAGTACTTTCTCGACGACTGGAAGCATGTTGGTCATAGACAGTACTTCCTCGTTTGCTGGGTGCTTCGTGTTCAGAAGCATTACTTTCTTTTCGGCTAGGAGGCTTTTGTTCAAGAGCAGTACTACCTCGTTTGCTTAATAGATGGGATTCATCAGCAGTACTTTCTCGACGACTGGCAGCGTGTTGTTCGTGGACAGTACTTCCTCGTTTGCTTGATACCTGTGGTTCGTCCATAGTACTTCCTCGTCGGCTTGATATTTGTTGTTCTGGAGTAATAATTTGTTGTTTGCTAGACGGTTCGTGATCAGAAGCAGTGCTTCCTTTGCGGCTAGCAGGTTTTTGTTCTAGACCAGTACTAACTCGTTTGCTTGATGTTTGCTCTTCTGAAACAGTACTGTCTTTTCGATTTACTGTTTTGTTTTCATCGGTAATACTCTCCCGTCGACTTGATGTTTGTTGCTCTGGAGTAATGCTTGTTCGTTTACTCGGTACTTGTTTTTCAGATGAAGTACTTTCTTTTCGGCTAGAAGGTTTTTGTTGAAAATCAATACTTTCTCTTCGATGAATAGTTTGTTCTCCAGATACCAAATTTTCTTCATGACTAAAAATAAAGTTTGTTTATAAATTAATTCAAAATAAAATTTTTACCTTGTTGGTTCTTGTACAACATTACTTGTTCGTCGACTTTCAGTTTGTTGTTGTTGATGACTAGATAAAAAATATGAAAATATTTCGGATGAAAATAAGTATTTACCTATCAAATTCATCTTGTTGTTGAGAAGTACTTGCTCGACGACTACTGGGAATGTGTTCTGTTTGTTCAATAACTTGACTTCCACGTGGACTAAAATTTTCAAATCCAATATTTTTATAAATCTTGAATATAAAAGCAAAATAATAATTTATTTACCTTGTTGATTTTCGATGAGTTAAATCTGTTTGTTGTTGATTAACATCATTTTCTCTTGGACTATGTGATGATGGAACTTCTCCATCAATATCTTTTTCATTACTAATAATACTTTTTGTTGGACTTTTTCGATTTATTTCACTTGGTGGTCGAGAATGATCTTGTTCTTTTTGAGCAACACTATTTTCTAATGATGGATCAGTTAATGCCGTTGATTTAATATCAGATGATGATGGTGGTGGACTATTTATTCGTTCATTATCAAAATCATCTGTTGGAATTTGAAGTTGTTCACCAGGTTTAATAAGTTTTAAATGTTCATCTGTTGCTGCTGAATGGTGTGAACGACTGCTACTTGGTCGACTTGCTGATGGTTCAATTAAATTATCATAAGATTTTTCTTTAATAGCACTTGTTGGTCGTGATGTTTGTTGTTGATCATTTTTACTTGTACTTTCTCTTCTTGATGCTGGTGAAATAATTGTTGTTGGTGGTTCAAAATTTTGCTTTTGTTCTTCTTCATCTTCTTGATTATCATTTGATACAATAGGTGAAATTGATTTATTATCATTTAAAGTTGGACTTATTGTACGATCATGATTTATTAATGAATGATTTGTATTATCATCTGTGATGACATGTGTTCGTGATTCTAATTGTTCAGTATTTAATGATGATGGTGGTTCAATATTAGTTGATGCTTTACGTGAATCGTTTGGTGTTGGTGATCGTGGACGATTAAATGGTGACATAGCACGTGATGGACGTCGAGCAACAGTTGCTACTTCTTGATTATCAAGATCAGTATCATTACCAGTATCAGGTGGTAATTTTGGTGGACTCATTTCAGTATGTTTTTCATCACTGAATGTTGATGGCTATAAATAAATAAGAATTTTTTATATGTTCATTGAAATATTGAATTTACTTCATCGGATGTAACTTGAGCCGATTGTTTACTAATTACTGATTGTACTCTTGGAGATGATGGTTTTGGTGATGTTGTTGCAAAACGTGTTGTTTCATCAAGACTATTTTGTTTAATAGAACTTGATGGTCGTTGATCATCATCTATAGTTCCTGTTTTTGTATCAAAAAAATCATCATCAGATGAATTTTTTATATGATTTTCTTGTCCTAATTGTTGCTGATCAGTAGGACTATTAACAAGAGTCGTCGTATTTGTTGGTGTTGCTTGTGTTTTATGATGATGAGGATCATCATCATCATCATCTGCTGAATTCTCAACTTGTTGAACAGGTGATGGTAAATGTTGTTCAGTTGATATATGATGATCAACTGAAGCTGATTCATTCATTGGATTTTCAGTTGAAGTTTTTGATGTTAAATCCATTTCTGTTGATGGATCATTAATATTTGGTGTAGAATGATTAATTTGACCATCTTGTAAATGATTTGATGTTATTGATTTTCGCGAAGTATTTGTATCATCACCAGATCCTAATTGAATATCATGAATAACATTATTCATTTTCTTTTGAATATCTTCATTATCAAATTCATTGTCACTAGGAATACCATTAGTTGTGGAATGTTCAGGTTGATGTATCTGGTTTGATGTTGGAGACAAACTAGAACTTAAAAAGAATTATTTTTTTAATAAAGAAATATAATTCTTTTGTAATTTTTGTTACTTTAATTCGTTAGTATTATTCATTCTTGTATTATCAATACTTTCACGATGTTTTCCACTTGCTACTCTACTTGCATTTGTTATAATATTTGTTGTTAAGTCATTTGCATAGGTTTCCATTTGCCGAGAATCATCTGAAAATAATGCACTAAAAGAAATTTTTTGAACAAAAAACAAAATGATTTACTTGGATCACCAGCTAGTGGATTATTGGCAAGATAACTTAATGGTTCAAGTGTTAACGATTGAGGTGCTTGTGTTGTATCGTCGTTTTCGTTCATTATTTTATTTTTGAAAATATTGAAAATTTTTCTAAAACAAAAATAACAGAAACCAACAGATACATAATTCAATTCATTTTAACCATGAACAACACTAAACATAAATTGAATAAAATTTGAAGAAACCCTTCTGTTTTTTTGCTTATACATTACCTTCTTTGTTAAACTACAGTCTATATTCTATGCATAACGACAACCACTTCACAATCAGTTACATCTATCTCAATGTGAGCATCGTCGTTGCTTTATACTTAACAATAACATCAACAAACAATAACGACGACGACAACAGTAGACACTAAAAATTTCGTGTGTTTCTACGGTACTGTAAATGGGATGAAGACTTTCTTTTTTTTATTCAAGTAAAAGAATAGCGAATGAGATTAAGAATGAGTGAGAGACGAAAGAGAGAAGAGTGAATAGTAGATGTATAGCGAAATGAAATTATTTCATTATGTTGATACAATCTAGCAGATGCAGGGCTGCAACTGAACAAACAAAATAAAAGCAATTGAGTAGTTGATAATTTGGACTATTTTTTTCTTGATTGAAGATGATGTATCAGTAAAAAATAAAACGAAATATTTCTCTTTGAGTTACATATGATGATTATTCTTCTGTTTTTTACTTTTTATTAATTTTCACTTTGATTGTCTATTTGTTGTCAAGGAACAAGGTGTCGATCGAGTATTGTTTTATTTGTTATTTAAAGTAAGTTTTTCTGTGCAAACGACAACATTAGTTGTCGGTCGTCTCTATTTCTCTTATTTTTCTCCTTGCATTATCGAATGAAATATGGGATGCAAAACAAAAAAACAAAAAAGAACAGAAAAAGATCATGATTTGTTCCTTCATCAGCATATGAAAATTGTGATTCAATTATAATCAAATTGATTTCATAATGAAATTTTCAAGTTCGAATAAAATTATCTTTTTTTATACTATAAAATTCAAATCATTTCTACATTATTTTAATAAACACTAGTTTGTTATCAAAAAGTATTTAATAAGATCAAAAGTTTTAGCAAGATTACGGAACAAAAACTATCAGAAGAATGGAAAAATAAAACATTCATCTGTAATGAAAAAAGACAAAATGAACTAAATGTCAACTCGACTTCCTGTTTTTCTCTTGATTTCATCATAAAAACAAGTTATTTGTCAAAAAAGACCTAATCTTCATGTCAATATTTTTCTTTTTATATTAGAATTTTTTTCATTAAAAAAAATGAGCTTTGTTATTTGAATTAGAAAACAATTTTGAACTTAAGAACATATAAAAAGAAATATCATAATCTAACACAATTTGATGAATTAAATAATATAACTTATATTTAAGACAAATTGCGCTAGCGGCCCATCGGATCAGTTTGATTCAATACCTTCAGTAGTAAAAATAATTAACATGTAAAATTCATTTCAACATTTCGTAGTCTTCTTCATTGCATGAAAATCAATCGAATTCTGATATATATATTTTTTTATTTTTAGAACGTCGATTTTCAGATCATTCAAGTAAAATGTTTTAAAAGTTAAATATAAAAAACATGTGCCAATATTTTCAACATATAGATTAATTTAATTCCTAAAGTATGATTAAAACTACTGAGCATGAAAACGTTCAGATTCGATAAACAGTATTCATATATATATTTATATTTAAGTAAATATTAACAAGATCAAAGGAATCTTTTCAAAGACTATATATTACTATATTACGTTAATTTAGGACTGTATAAATGTGACTTAGAATAATAATTGTAATTTTGTGCTAAGATTTTATATTATTAGCAATATTTTTTTTTATCAGAACTCACGATGCTATCAATATTACAATTAAAATCAAAGAATCTATTAAATAATGATAATAAAAAAAATATTCAATTTTATATGCACAAAAATATGATCAAAACATATGGAAATATAGTCAATGCTATGTTCAAGTATTTATTTACTTAATAAAATAATATTCAAAATTGAATTATTTAGTTTTTGATTACATTCATTTTCGATCAGCTGAATTGATTATATAGTATAATATAAAAAAGAAATATTTTTTTTTTATTGCAGGAAAAAAACCTTTTAAATGCCATATTTATGTCTTTTGATGGAAACTTACAAACAAGCTTCGTTAATAATTAATTTATATGAGAATGTTGATCACTAAATATATCTTATTACCTATGGTAGTAGAATGCTCTGTATCCTTTGTTTCCTCTACTTGGTTCACATCTATTAAAAATGTAATATGTAAGAGGAATCTGATTTGCTCTTCAATCTTAACATTGAAGAAAAACACTGATTTTATATTTTAGTGTACGCCTATTCATTGTCAAATTGTTTTTATTACTAAACAGTTATAATCTCAGGGGGTACGAAAGATTACCTTTTTGCAATCAATATATCAATTGTCGATAATTACTATGATTAATTTTATTTCGATGTACTATTGATTTGTTTTGAGACAATCAGCTGTTATTAATGAAAAAAATTGATACAGGATGTCCCATAAGTTGTGGCAGATTTTTTTAAATCTAATTTTTTGATGGTAATGAATACAAATCAAACTCAAACTTACACGTATCATACAACTTAACATGTATTTTTATTTCATATATTTTATTTTGATTAAATCATTGGATATACAAAAAAATAAAGAAATTGGTACATGTGCAGAATAAGCACACCATCAATGTGTTACAATATATATACCCCGACAAAAAAGTTTCACTCTGTATTTCTCATATATTGTCACTATAAAAATAAGTTATTTTGAAACTAATTACATATTCTGAAAGTCCGCGGAGTTTTCTATCACTCTGTAGAATTAGATTTTAGTTTTGACCTTTTCATTACCAAAATAAATTGAAGACAACGAAGGCACCATCATGTCCAGATTCCCAGACTTGATCTTTTCTTCGTCATCAAAACTAGTTTTAAAAATTTTTCATCCATATAGAATGATCTTTTTGTGAAAGTAACTATAGATTCTGATAGAGCTTAAAATTCTCTATCACCCTGTCTATTTACTTATTTTCTTGCATTCATAGTTTGAAATAAAATTGAATACAATGAATATACTCCGAATCGACTAGCCCAAAAAATTTGCATTTTTTTCGCTACTTAAATTTAAGACACTGTATTAATACATAATATCATAGAGAATTTCAAGTGCTATCAGAATGTGTGATTTATTTTGTAAAAACTTACTCCCATAGGAATAGTAATTGGAGAAAAAAACTAACAAAGTAGCGAAAAAATGCAGACTTTTGATATTTGTCAATTGAGGGTATGTTCATTGAATTTGTTTATTTTCTTGTATATTCAATGATCTAATTCAAATAAAATATATGAAATAAAAGTACAAGTTAAGTCGTATCATATGTGTAAGTTTGAGTTTAATTTGTATTCATTACCATCAAAAATTAGATTTAAAAAAATCTGCCACAACTTATGGGACATCCTGTATGATTCTTTGATGAGAACAATTTTTATCTGAGATCTTGATATTTTTTAATAAACTGCTGAGTTTCGATTAATCGATATAAATCAAGTGTACATATAGATGTGTACTAATCGTCTGTAGATATGATAGTTGGAACACATTCGAACGATTTACACGTGAAAGTTCTGAAAATCTTCGCTGTCGATAATAGCATTCTAGAAATCCAAAATATTTGTTATAGACATATTATGCTGTGCCGAATTGAATATAGAAATGAATAATAAACGAACATTATCTTGTGAATTCCATATGTTATATCGTGTGAAAAATAAAAGACCAACAATTATTACTTATTAATACTTGTCCCATGTGTGATGATTATTGCCAAGAATAGGTTTTGTCTCATGTTGGACTGACATTAAATTGTTTCTTTTAAAATAAGGACTTGTAGGATGCGTCTATGATATGAAAACTTAACCTATTCAATTGCATTAACTATAAAAAGAATAGAAAATTCATTAAAGAAAGAACTCTTCGAGCTTCATATGTATATTTCAACAATCAATGAAGACTATGCTGATATTTGATCGAACTAACTAACTATGTTCATTTTCAATGAATAATATGGAACTTAAATTAGTATAACCATCTTCTTATAAGACTTAAAGAAAATCCAGATAACTACTGATATATCAGCAAAAGACACAAGTTCACAATTTATTATTAAGTATTTTATGATCGAATAGCACTTCCACTACACTGTGGAGCAGCTGGATTAGAAACATCAATGATACGACTATCAGAAGTTAATTTAACATCGATCAGACCACCAAAAAGATAAACAGCAGTTTTGAATGAAGTTGGAAGACTTATTGTTGTATCAATATAACGATTTGGTGGACACCCAGTACCATCAACTTGTGTGACAAGACGAAGTTGATTAGAACCAACACGTGACATTGCAATCAAACCATAAATACAACAACATCGACTTCTATCACATTTAGTAGTAGTATAAAAACTACCTGACCAATTTGGTTTGGCGGCAAGCAAAGCTAGAAAATAGAAAGTTCTAATATAAATATTCTTCTTGGATAATTTAATTAAAATAATATTAACCGGAAGATGATTGTATCATCAAAAGGATGGCCGAAACTAGAACGATCACTGTGTAGTGTTGCATTTTTGTTAAAAAGTCACAATTAATTCGAAGAGTATATCAAAATTATTGAATGAAGTTTTGGGTCGAATATATATATATATATGTATATATATAATGAATAATGGTGATTAATGAATCAGCTGACAATATTCTCATAGTTTATCTCAATGCTTACTAACCTGTAAGAGCTTATTGACGTCAGACCAACGAGTTACAAAATATTATTGATAAAATAATGTTTAACTTTGTTAGTAACAAATAGTATATAAAAAATAAAGCACTGTTGTTTTTATCTCTTTCAATTTCCAAAAGTCAGTGAAAAAAAAAAAAAAAAAAGTCACTCTTGGACAAAACTGATATAGAATTATTTGCTCTACAAAGACGGCTATCTGT